TCAAGCGGGCCCAGTAACATCGTGAGACTTGTTACTGTGTTTGGCATATAGATACGTCACGGGTAGCTTGCCAGGCTTTGCTGTGTGGACGAGATACTCTAGGTAGCTTTCCAGGCTCTCCGAGAGGGGTGGAGGAATTAAACTCGGGTCGGCCATGTTGGCTGCGTGCAAGGCAAAGGTCCTACCCGCTATGCTATCGCTCCAGCCCAAGCATCATAATAAACAACAAAAACAAGGATTTCGGGAATGTTGCAGCACACGAAGCAGGAGGAATCTGTTGTCCTGCCCCAGTAACAGTTGCATCAGTTGCATTCTGTCTGATGGAACTCTTTTTTTTTTTTTTTGGTTCATTGCCATTTATTTATTTATTGGTTGATTTTTATACATTTTATTTTCATAAAGCAGTTCACAATAGTTCATTACAGATAATATTCAAACATTCAAACACCCACTCTTCCAGTGAGCATCTTCCCACCACAATTAGAGGAAAGTGTCTGAAGGTTGTTGTATTTCATTCTGCAGCAAATTAAGCTCATATATAAGAGAATACAAGCAAGTATGTTAAAACCGAACAAATGTGTGCTACTTTAGGTACATCAGTGGGTTAGAGTATAAGATGTCATGCGGCTGCGAATATGCATGCTCCAAGAAATACCGCATCACTCACTTCTGGGAGTTTCGTTTTATAGTCTCTTGGCCATTGATGACATTACATGGTGCTGGGGGCAGTTTGTGGGTGTGACTGCCAAGCTTCTGGAAAACTGGGGATCTGGGTGGAGTAGACCCAGTCCCAATCCGAGCAGCCTTAGAGATCTCAGTCACTGGCCCTGCATACCTGGGTTCCTCTGTTGGCTCCCTCATGGGTTAGGCTTGTCCGAACATGTGGAGAGTGGCCTTGAGCATGGCTGCGTCTGGGTTCTAAGGTTTTTGGCTGCCAGGGTTTTGCTTGGGACGGAGAGGGAAACTCAACCCGCCCCCCTCTGAGGTGCCCCGGTGAAGACAGCCTGGCGCAAGTGATGGAACTCTTGTTTTGAACCTGGAGTCCATCGAAGGTTTTCTAGTGGGTCCCTAGTGGGCAGGCGTAAGGGGGGCAGTGATTGAAAGTAAATTGCCAGTAATTTCAGTTCTTAGCTTGTCAATGACTACCCATGCCTCTCTGACTTGCCTTGGACCAGGCAGCTGTGCAAATATTTCAGAAACAACTTGCACACAATTTATGGGATACACCCATGCAAATCTAGAGTTCTGTTTGTGTCACTGATCACTGCTCCTGATCTCTTCAACATACGCACACAGACACACACACAGAAACACACACAGACACACACACACTCTTGTTCTTCATGAAATTAAGCAAGTTCTCCTAGAATAAGTTTAGTGGGGGGTTAAAAAAATATTTATTACTTACTTAATATTTTTAAATTGTTACCTTGGGTGAGGGACTCCCAAGGAGTGCTTAGTGATTTTTGGCCAATGGTTTTTGGTCAACCAGCCTGGTGGTTCAATGCAAAGGTTCTAAGATAACGTGATGCTTGAACCTTTCCATGCTGGGGAATACCCAGACCACTTGGTGGTGCTCAGGGTCCTCCAGCATCATACTTTGAGGGGCCTCCGTGGCTGCACATGGCCAGGGACCATGTGTTACAAAAATCCACCCAAATAGGGGGCATAGCATGTACCATAACTGCTGTACTACCTCCAGCCCCAGCAGTTAACTTTTAACCAGTTTCTGTTCATGTTATTGGCTAATGTGATCAATTATCTTGACAACTATTTGCACTCTTGGAATAAATGTGATGTGCTAATGTTAGAATATTCCTTTTGGATATTACTAGATTCATTCAACTTGCTAAAATTTTGCTTAGGATCATGGCAACTATGTTCATTAAAGGTATTTTAAAAAAAAATCTTGGGGCCAGAGAGATAGTATAGGAGATAGGGCACTTGCCTTGCAAGTGGCCACAATTTTATCCCCAGAACCACATATGATCCATCAAGCACAGTCAGAACTCACTCCTGAGCACAGAACCAGGAATCTTGAGAGCCATTGGGTATAGCACGCACACATGTGCACACATGCGCGCACACACACACACTCACACACATACACAAATTTTTCATGGAGGAGTAGCTCAAAGTGATCTCTGGCATTAAATGGTCCCCAAAGCACTAATGGAAGCAACTCCTGAGCACAGATGCAGGAACTGAAACTCATCATGACAAAGGTATTTTAGTGGGGTGGGGTTCTGCCCCCTCCCCCGAAATCTTTGTCTTATTGTCTCTGATGACTTTTGCTTTCTTGCTGTACTTAACCGGACTCCACAGATTCGTTAGGGAGCACTCTTTTCTGTACCCTGGGCGAATACATACAAGATTGCTCTAATTCTTAAATATTTGGCAGACTTGAAGCTCTTTGGACCCTTAGAATTCTTTAAGGGTAAGGATATTGTCAAGGACTACCCTGGGAAAAGAATGGACGTCCTGGGCGCAGGAGAGATAGCCCAGCTTGCCTTTACACCAGACACCCCACATGGCCCCCCAGGCCTCACCAGGAGTGATCCCTGAGCTCAGAGCCAAGAAATCCTGAGCACAGCCATGTATGGCCCCCATACCAAATAATTAATAATAATAATAGGAAGAAGCATCTTTAGAATTATCCACCGTCCAGGGACTCTGAGGGTGGTGGGTATGTCATGCCATTTCAATTAGCTTGACATTTTCCTCAAAGCACCTGCCCTAGGTTCCACCTACCTTGCCGCAAACCAGGCCTGACAGATCAGTTCTCAGGCTGCCTGAGTCCACCCACCTGGTGACCCAGACTTGGTCTTTCAGATGGGAAGCCCGGTGCCGGGCAGAGAGCGGTGAGCGGGAAGGGGAGGAGCGCTGGCTGGTTCCAGCAGAAAGAGGCTTTGTTTGCTCTGCTTCTTTGTCAATGAGGCAACATTCGAAAACAACAAATATTGGGTCAGAGGACCCATGCCTTCCTGCCTTTCCCCTTCAGGTCAGCTACCCTCTGCACGTACACAAGTCCAGCTTTTTCTTCAAAGGGGCTCATTTTACTGAAATGTATGCATTTTATTCAGCTTACGATGAAAGATTTGGGTCAGAACTTAGATTGGTTTGTAACTGAAAGCACTTTGAACTTGCCTCTATCCCTTCCTTCCCACCCTCCCCCATCTCCTCCTGCCCACCCCCCCACCCCCTTCCTCTTCTGAAGGAATAAAGAGTAGATCAGAATCAAGAAGGTGGGCGGAACCTTGAGAAGACCCAAAATTAGGAGACCTGAGTCCAGTTCTGTGCCCGGGGAACCGTTTTCTCACTGTCCAATGCCCCTCTAAGGAACAGGGTTAGGGATCTTGGTTCCTCTGGTGCAGGGTCAAGATCCTAAGCCCCTGGGCAGTGTGTGGTGGTCGGGCTGCCGGAAGCTAGACTTCCCTGCTCTGGCAGCAGGGAACCAATGCAGGCCCCACGGGAGCTCAGCCGCTTCTCCTAGATCTGGGGCTGCATGTCCTTGGAGTGAAGAAACGAGCCATAGAAGAGCAGCGGCAATGCCATGACAGGCTGCAAAAAAATTCAGCTAGGCTACAGTTTCGGTTCCTGGAACTGAAACAGTTTCCATTTTCCCTATATGGCACAATACAGACCAGCCAACTAGACCCCACCTTGAAAGTCCCTGAGCCCTGCAGGTGGACTCAACCAATCATTATGCCCCCAATCAACAATGCTTAAGGCCACACACAGTTTTTCGTTAACTCCAAAGAATAAGTAGTTATGTAACCATGCCCTCTGAAACTAGAGTCGGGGTCCCTTGTCTTGAAGGCACTGTGTCAGTGTAGACTTGGACCCTGGCTCGAGCTAGCAATAAAATTCCTTGCTTTTGCATCGCAAGAGGGGTCCCTCTTCCTTATTCTGAGACCCGGAACTAAACAGGAGAGTCTGCAGCATTGTCTGATCCTTCTCTAGAGGGCTCCTAGATGAGTCCCAGCTTCTTGTGTCCCTACTTCCTGGGAGAAGCAGTGTCCCCCTGTGGATGAGGGTGTCCCTGCAGGGACTACAACTGTTGGCTTTTACTTCTGCCTCACCAGCTGGCTCTGGACTTTTATTAACCCCTGAGAGCAGTTAAAAAGCAAGTGTGATGATCCAGGGCATCAGGGTCAGCGACACACACGCAACTTCCCCCAACTCTCTTCTCCGAGTTTGAGATTAGTTCTCAGCCTCTAAGTCTTGCCCACGTTCTAACTGCTTTTGGTCGCCTCCTCGGTGGGCTTGTGGTGGTGCGCCTTGGGGGAGATGTCAGGCTGCTGGAGGGAGGATGGTCATGAGTCCTGAAGGCTAAGTGGAGGCCATAAGGGACGACAGGGGCAATGTTTGCAGGCAACCCTGGGAGCAAACCAAGGGCCTTGGGTCTATAGTGTGACTTATGTCGGGTTTTTCATGCATTCGTTTGGTTTTTCACTGCTCTTGTTTTCAAGAATGAAGAGCACCATCTCCATTATTTTAATTATTGGGGAGCAGCACACCCCCTGGAGGTACTCAGGCTTACTCCTGCCTCTGCCCTCAGGGATCAGCCCTGGAGGAATCAGGGGGCCGAAAGGGGTGCTGGGCTCCTAGAGTCTAATGCAGCAGGCAAGCGCCCCTCGCTGCCCTGTCTCTGCGGCTGAGGCGATTTTGTTCTCTGCTGATGGGCTCTCCACAGAGCTCTGCAGCTGCCCCGTTCAATCGGGGTCTGGCAACAGCCCCCTTCCCTCTCCAAACCGCCTGCATGCAATGAGCACCCGCCCCGCCCCCACCACCCCCCCCCCCCGCATCCACCTTGCGCACAGCACCTCCGCTCCCCTGCAGCCCGAGAAAGCCGCATTAACTAGGGTGGGGGCGGAGTTGGGGGGGGAGTCTTTAATCCCCTCCCAGTCAGCATTTCTCCGCCGGATTCCACCCTGGGGGGCTCTGGCAGTGAGGTGACCCGCGTGGGTGGACTGGCGGGGGCGGGGTGAGGGCCGGTTGGGCAAGGGCTGAGCAAACAAGGAGGTCAAAGATTGCGCAGTGCCCGCGCGCGCGGGGATAAAGGGGCGCGGGCGCGGACAGGGGACACACCAGCCGCTCCTGAGCGCCCAAGGATGAGGCTCGCCTTCAGCGCGCTGCTGGCCTGCGCGGCCCTGGGTGAGTGCGGCCGGCCGGGCCCTGCCACCGGCCTTCCTCCCCTGCCCACCCCGTCCCGGCCCCTCTGCCCTCTGCAGCGGCTTTGGCACGACCTGGGGGGTTGTGTGGGCTGAGTCTGCCCCTCTTCTCTTCCTGCTCTCCTGGCTCTCGATTGCTCTCCATGCACCGAATCTTCCAGTCCTGAGGGACAGCAGACCTGCGTTCCCAGCACCCTGCTCGCCCCCCGCGGCTGCAGCTGCTCAGTCCAGTCCAGCTGGGTCCTGAGGGTGTTGCAGATGGCCAGGGTCGCCTGCCCTCAGCCTCCCCAGCTGGGTGTCGTCATTCTTCAGCCTTCATCAGCTTTCTGCTGTTTGGACCACAGTGTGGGTGGCAGAGGGCTTGGGGCAGTGCCAGTGCTCAGGTGGGGTGACAGTAGTCTGTAATGGCCACATGCACCTCTGGCTTTAGAGTCCCCCCTCCCCCCCACCTAAAGACAGGTGGAGACGGAGGGACCTCCAAGGAAACACAGTGTACACTGGAGCTGAGGGGCTTCTAGTCCTTCCTGGCACAGTGGCTGGTGGGAAAGTGTCTCCTGCAAATTTATCCCTCCTGTCTGCTGGCCACACAGAGGGACAATGCCCCCCCCCCCCCAGGGTATCTTCTTTTGCTCCCTAAGCAGAGACAGTCTGGACTCTGGCCAGGCTCTGTGTGTGCAGGGTAATCTGGGGCAGCACCCCACTCTTCACATCTCTCCTTATTTATTTATTTATTTATTTATTTATTTATTTATTATTTTTGGCTTTAATGGGTCACACCCGGGGATGATCAGGGGATAATCCTGGCTCTGCACTCAGGAATCACATGGGATGCCGAGGATCAAACCTGCCTGCAGTGTTATCGCTCCAGCCCCATCTATCCTTTCTTAAGAATCTCCCAGCACCCTGCTGGCCCCTGAGTGATGCTAACAAGCTTCAGTGAAGTCCTTTGAGGCTTATGTCCCCCCCACCCCCGCAGTCCTGTGTGGTGAGAGAGACTCAGGACACAGAGGAGTAGACTGTCCCTCTGGGCAGCACTCAGCTGGGAGGTCACTAACAGCCCAGACTCAGAGTGTGGGGCTCGGGAGGATGAGGGGTCAGAGCCTGGAAGGAGAAGACCTTTCAGAGCGAGACTCAGGGACCTCTGACCTCTGTCCCTTAGGACTGTGTCTGGCTTCCCCCGACCTGACCGTGAGATGGTGCACCACCTCAAACCATGAGGCCAGCAAGTGCGCCAGCTTCAAGAAAGCCCTTCCTGCGGATGGTCCCCTCATGGCCTGTGTGAGGAGAACCTCTCCTCAAGAGTGCATCAGGGCCATTTCGGTAAGCGGCTGCTGCCTTCTTCTGCCCCCACTTTCCCCTTCTTCTACCATTTTGGGACAGCTCTAGCTTCAAGGGTAGGAGGCTGGAGGGAGGAGGAGTCAGACCCACAGCTAAGAGGATCACTTCCAAAACTCGGAAAGGAACAGCCGTCTTCAACGGGCAAATTCCAACGTAGCCTGAAAGCACTTTGATCTGTAAAATCAGAGAGAGTGCGCCAAGAATATTGATTTGGAAGAGAGAAAAGGTCAGTTTGCAATCAAAATGACCACATGACAGGGTTCGGTAGAGCCTGATATGAGTGAATCTCAAGGAATAGTGCCTTCTTTGTTTTTTAGGTTCTCCAAAATCAGACTTGCGTATGATTGAAATATGCAAGCCTGCAATTGCACATTGTGTTAGTGGACATGAAGGGAAAGAGTAACAAGAGTTATGGGGAAGATGCACTTTGTGCTCGGTATGATGATGTCTCGGGGGAGTAATGAAGCTGATTATACCTACCCAGGCATGGATATCCGACTAGAAACACTGTGGGTAGAGTAGGCCGGGCGGTTGAGACAGAGTGTGCACAGGGCTGGCTGGGGGAAGGGTTGGGTTATTGAGTTGCTGGACGGGAGCCAATTTGACAGCAGCAGGGCAGATAGGAGAGTGGCAAGAGGGATGATGTTGGGAGGGAAGGCTCGTTTATCAGGGCATGATTAACTCCAGGATTTGTGATTTAGTAGAGATTGATCTAGGGTGTGTGTGTGTGTGTGTGTGTGTGTGTGTGTGTGTTGCACAATTGGACTAAATCATGGCTTAGTTATAAGTCTTGATTTCTGATACTTTCGACTCTGGCCCACACACCCCTCTAGACTTTCTTGTTTTTTTTTTTTTTTTAATTTTAAGGAGTATATAAATAAATTGCAGGTTTTTGCTCTAAAAATTGTAAACATGGTTTTACTATGTGTTGTCCTTCCAGATTTGCTTTTTGTTCCTTGATATTATATTCATCAGAGTCAGCTGGGTTGTTGAATATAGCTATTGTTCATTCATTTCACAGCTCCACAATAATTCAGTGTGTTAGTATAGCATGGGTTATTTTTTTTTATTTTCTGAATTTATTTTCTGTTTTGTTTGGATTGTTTTCAGTTATTTGTTATTCTCATCAGGGGTTGAAATTGGTCTATAATATTTCATATTTCACAGTGACATTTAAAGCTTTGGGAATTTTGGTGCTTAGCTTGCAGTGCAGGGTATATTAGACTGTGGAGTCATGTTTTTCATCAGTCAGGAAAATTTTTAGACACTTTCTTTTTAAATACTTTTTATTTTTCTATTAAAAACAAAACTCTAGAACTCTAAGATAACTCATTATGCCTAGTTAAATCTAATCTCCAGATCTTTTTTCTTTTTGCTCTGTTTTGTTTTCGGACTCCATCCAGTGGTGCTCAGGGCTTACTCCTGGTTCTGCACTCAGGGATCACTCCTGGAAAAGCACCATATGGTGCCCAGGATAGAGCCTGGGTCAGCCATGTGCAAGGCACGCACCCTGCCCACCGTACCATGTTCCATCCCCCAGTCTCCAGATCCTTTAATCCATCTTTCATAGCTTCCATCTCCACACTCCCTTTTGGCAGGAAAAAAATTCTAAAACATAACTTTAGTTTACTGGTTCTCACTTTAACCATGTCTCATAGACTTTTTGTCCATTCATCCACTTATTTACATATATATATATATATATATATATTGCTTCTGGACATACCAGTTTAATTTTCCTCCTTTGATTCCTGCTAACTTTCTTTTCTGTGTTAAGCTGTGTGATCATAGCCGTCATGGTATACAGGGTCCTTCATATGATGCTCTTCTCCAATGCATCTGTTCGTCCTAATCTCCACAGACCTCAGGGGCCCAAGTCTGTTCACATTGCTGCTCACACAGTGTGACTTACCTTCTCCTGGGTTGGTTATCTGTACCTTGATTGTAACCTTTCCTGCTAGTTCAGAGTCTTCTGGGAACCTGGGCTGCTCTAGCAAACACCTTGGTTCTTGATTCCTTGAGGCTCTGCTAAAGCTTAGACTTTAAAGAGCTGCTCTGGCTACAGCCATTGTTTGCTTATTTATTTTTATTTTATGGTATGTTTGGCAGGTAGGGAGAGTCTCTGGAATTTTTGTGATACCAAGAAAGTCACAAAGATAGTCTCATAGGTGGTGTCTAGCTATGGAATAAAAAGGTCTTTCTCCAACATGAATGTGCTCAATAGCCCAATGATATTTTGTAGTGTTTGCAATATTTAATAGCACTAATTGTACTATTAAAGTTATGAGTGCTTGGAACTGGAGCAATAGTACGGTGGATAGGGTGCTCACTTTAAATGCTGCCAACCCACGATCAATCATCAGCTCCCCATATGGTCTCCTGAAGTGATTACTGCCAGAAGTGATCCCTGAGCACAGAGTGAGGAGTAAGCCCTGTGCACTACTGGGAAAAGCTCAAAAACAAACAAACAAAAAAATAGAGCTGGAGAGATAGTACAGTGGTTAAGGCATTTGCCTTGTATGTAGCTATGTTCATGACAATGGTTTGAATCCCAGCACCACATTTGTTTCCCTGACCATCTTCAAACGTGTCCCCTGAGCACTGCCAGGTGTCTGTCCCGAAATAAATAAAATAAAAATAAAAAGGGAATTTTAACATAGTTAAATTGTAAACTTTATATTATGTACTTTATTACAATAAAATCAAAATAGCCATGGCCAATAAAAATTTCAGCCAGACAAAAAGAATCAGATTATGTTTTGTTTAATTTCATTTAGGAAGCTTAATTTTCTTATTACCTATAACAATACAGATCTTTAAACTTTTGCCTTTTAATTTGTATACTGGCAAGGATTTCTAGAAAAGTCATTTTGGTTAAAGATATTTTAAGAAAAATATTAAGAGTACAGAAAATATGATGTTTCTCATTTTAGTAACAAATAAATTCTAGGCATAGTGGTAAGGCATCTGTAACATTTCAAATAAATATTGCAAGTTTAAAGATGTGAATTAGTAGAAGCAGAAAGTTAAAGAAAGCAGAAGGGACACCGCATGATTTACTAGCTGTCTGACCTGGGGAAGTTACTTCAACTTCATTGCTTAAACTTGGTTCCATTTAGTCTGGGGCTCAGGGGGTCATACCCAGCAGTACTCAGGGTCTGTTCCTGTTTTTGTGCTCAGGTGTGATGGCTGGCAATGCTCAGGGGACCGTAGGCAGTGCAGGGCATTGGGCAGGGTTAGCTGCATGGCAGTCAAGAGCTGTACGCTCTGTGCTGTCAACTTTAAAAAGTATAAAACGGAGCTGAGTTGGACAGAGTGAACTGTAACTTGTCTAAATAATTGATTAAACAAACAATGAACCGTGAAGAAAGTAATAATCAGAGCCTGACACTTAGGATAAGACAAGGGAGGGCCAGTCCTTGAAGGCTTCTGCAGCTATGTGGACCCAGGACAGGAAGTACCAAGTAGAAAGCAAAGAGATGAGATGACATGAGGTTGTCCAGGCTCCCCTCCCGGTTAAGAGGGGCTGTCAGGCGCCCAAAAAAGACCTCAGTAGGGGGTCCAAGATAAAGATGCGAGCTCTTGGCTCAAAATGTGAAGTGGCAGGAAACAGAGCAAGCAAGAGTCCCTGAAGGCTGCTGTGCAGGGCTGGGAAGGAGAGTATGACTCCATCCCTCCCACTCGCAAGAGGAAGACGGGGCCATTCCCTCACCAGGGAGGCAGACGCCTGTGCCTACTGGCTAGTCTGACTGCAGGGAAGGTTCTTCTGGCCCTCGATCCCAAAAACCCACCAGTCACCTGCACACATCCAGGTTTGGGTGTCCCCTCCTTGGAAGAGGGAGCCTCCCTGAGGTCTGATCGGCTCTTTTTCAGGACAGTGAGGCGGATGCCGTGACGCTGGATGCGGGTCATGTGTTCGAGGCCGGCCTGGCGCCCTACAACCTGAAGCCTGTGGTGGCAGAGTACTATGGCTCCCAAGCGGGTCAGTTCTCGGGGGGAGAATCAGGAGAACGTTTGTGGGTCTTGTACTCCCCCAGGTAGACGCTGCATCTTATCTTGTTAAAATAGCGGAGATGAGATGCTGATGCAGCCCCACAGCTGGGAGAGTGTGGAGGAGGAGAGACCCCCAAGAGCCACCCCCAGGCTCTGGGAGCCTTGAGGCATGAGAGCTGGTGGGAAGCGAATGTGCTTCCTGAAGGGATGGGCCTGCTGCGTGCAGTCTAACCCAAACTCCTGAGAGCTGAGCTGTATTTAACAGCCCACCAAACACCACAGGCATGACCCATGCAAGCCAGAGCACTGCAGCAGCATCACGTGGCTGTCCTGCAGTCCCACACCTCTGTCAGTGGACAGGAAATGCCTAGCGGGAGCTGGGAATGTGGCGAGAGTCGGGAATGTGGCACCTGCTCCCACATCTCCAGTTTCCTGTCAGGTTTTTTGTTGGGAAGTGTGGGACGGAGAAGGTGAGATCATCCAGGTCCCAAATGCACAGGACCGTCATTCTTACCTTCGCAAGAATGAGCCCCGTTTTCTACGCCCAGGCTGAGCGACTCTTGCCCTGCTGTCTCTCTGCAGATAAACAGACCCACTATTATGCTGTGGCAGTGGTGAAGAAGACCAGCAACTTCCAGTTTAATGAGCTCCAAGGCAAGAAGAGCTGCCACACGGGCCTGGGCCGCTCCGCCGGCTGGAACATTCCCGTCGGCCTGCTATACTGGCAGCTGCCTCAGCCACATGACTCTCTGCAGAAAGGTGAGTGGGCAGGAGGCCGGGGTCTCCGCCACTCAGGACCTGCTGGGGCCATTCAGCCACTCAGCAGGGTGTGATGACTTGGGGGTGGAGGGAAGGTGAACCAGCACCAAACTGGCAGGTGTGAGACTTCAGCCGCTCTGAGGAGGTATCGGCCAGGGTTGCTCTTCTCTCGGTTCCCAGCACCCCCCTCCCCCCCCCCCCCCAGAGGCCTTCTTGAGAAATGGAGAGGGCAGCAGAGGGCCTTTGTCAGGGCTGTTGTCGGGACTGGTCACGCATTTCCCAGGCCTTCTTTCCAGCCCACCCAGCGTGTTTCACTATGTGGAGCTTTCCCTTGAGGCCGTGGCCTTGCCCGCATATCCCTGGCAGGCCTCCCTCTGTCTGAGCCTCCAGTCTCACAAGGCCGGGAGGCAGAAATGCAGGGGGTGGCAGCAGAATTCTTTGTGAGCAGTAGGAGGACTCTTTCCTTTTGGGAAGGCCCCGAGTTGGGTGATGGAACATATGTGGGCTCGGGGCGGCTCTGTTCCCTCCTGAGCCTGTGGTCACACTGGCTGATCAGACTCTGTGGTCTCTGTCTCCTTGTTGAGCAGCGGTGGCCAGTTTCTTCGGGGGCAGCTGTGTCCCGTGTGCCGACGGAAAGACCTTCCCCAAGCTGTGCCAGCTGTGTGCGGGCGCAGGAGCTGACAAGTGCGCCTGCTCCACCCACGAGCCCTACTACGGCTATGCGGGCGCCCTCAAGTGAGTGACTGGTCTGTGTTGCGGTAATGAAGGTGCTCTTCGGCTCAGCGTGGACGACCCCTCAGGGCCCAGACACAGGGAGAGGTGTCCAGAGGGTCCTGTCAGGGACTCCCAGGCTGGCACGCCCACCTCCATCTGACTCCATCAGGAAACTCCTCTCCTGGGGACCTTTTCTCCCTCCCCAGCACTCTTAGATGCGGCCAGTGGGTCCTCTCCTGGCACTGTGCAGAGCGGGAAGGCCCAGGGTATCACTGGTGTCCAGGTCAGTCTTCCGTGATGAGTACCCGCCTGTTATCAGCTGCAGCCATGATGAGTACCCTGCCCTAGCACACAGCTTGCATGGCGGCTGATTATTCCCTCTCTCTTTTTTTTTTATTTTGGTCACACCCAGCGATGCTCAGGGGTTGCTCCTGACTCTGTACTCAGGAATTACTCCATATGGTATGCTGGGAATCAAACCCGGGTCAGCCGCGTGCGAGGCAAACGCCTTACCCGCTGTACCATCACTCCAGCCCCAATATTCCCTGTTTTCCTTCCTCTATAGCTTCAAGTTTTCTAACCAGCCAATGGCATGTTTCTCTTCTCTGGAAACACTGTGTCCTCCCCACTTCCTCCAGCCCCGCCCCACCCCGGAAAAAAAGTTGAAAACTCTTCTCTGTGTGAAAATGTCTTTAGTGCCTTTTGACTGCTTTGGGGCGCAGACTGAGGACACCCCCAACCCTGCATCTCAGTGGTACTCTGACAGTTCACGCCTGTAGTCCTTCAGCTGCACATTGTGAAGGGCCACCCACAAACTCTGCCCTGTCCAGTGTAGGATGGTGGGCGAAGGGCAGAGGGAAGGGTGGCCAGGCAGGAACCTTCTGGATTTCTTGCCCGCAGGTGTCTGGCTGATGATGCCGGGGAAGTGGCCTTTGTCAAGCACTTGACAGCACTTGGTGAGTGATGGGGGAAGAGTTGGCAGATGCCCTCCCCTCCGTGGGTTTCCTGCTCTCCTGATCCTTCTGTCAGTAGTCAGATAGGAGCAGAAGGACCTGCCTTGTGTTTCTCCCTGTGCAAACTGTATCTTGTGGGGGCTCTGCTACACTCAGGGGCTGCTTTCTCTCAGTCCATCTCCAGGCCACTGGGACTCTGCCTCCTTGTCACTATTGCCATAGCAACGGATGGGGGCGGGCTGGCCAACCTTGTCTGCAGTTGGCCTGCTGCGATGAGAGCTACTGTGGGGTGGGGCAGTCACCACTGTACACATCAGAAGATTATTTTTCCTGCCCATCCCTGACTCAGGGATGTTGAACAAGTCAGTTTCCCGCAGATTCCTGGTTCCCAATAATCACTCCAGACAGATTATGGTTCAGGGCAATTCTAAGGGAAGGGAAAAAGAACCACAACTTGGGGTTCTGTCTGTCGTGAGCTCACCTGGGCTTTCTTTCTCTGCCAGAGAGTCCCGACAAAGACAAGTATGAGCTGCTGTGTCCCGACAACACCCGGAAGCCAGTGGACCAATACAAGGACTGCCACCTGGCCCACGTCCCTTCCCACGCTGTGGTGGCCCGAAGCATGGGCGGCAAAGAGGACCAGATCTGGGAGCTTCTCAACTATGCCCAGGTGCCCCATCCTCCCTGCCCCCTCCTGCTTAGGGCCCTGCTTGACGGGGCTTTTCCTTTGATCCCTGTGTGCCACCGTAGAAGTAGGGCAGAATAGGAACCACATAGAACTTCCTTCACTTGCCCACTACCAAGATGCACGCAGTCACTGGAGCCTAGTCCTGCCTGATTGGCTTCAAGACTCTTCATGTTGAACCAGTACACAAAAGTGGTCCTTTCTGCTTGATCCCATTTAAACCTGCCTTTCTAGTTCAAGAGCCAACAGTCTTCCCAAGAGCCCTTGCAAGACCTTAAAAGGACATCACTGCAAATGTCCCTCAGCTCAGCTACAAAATCTCAGCCCTGCTTTCCTAGAGCAGTGGGACGTCCAAGCGAAGCCCACTTCTATGCCTCTCCCCTCTTCTACCTGTCCTGAATTTAAGTGGAAGGAGGGATGTGTTTCTTGCTCTCAGAGCACTGCCAATCCATCCAGGAGCACAGACACAGGAGTGCTAGCAGGGGGCCACGGGGGTGAGATTGTGAGTGGAGGAGGCACCAGGGTGCAAGATCAGGCCTCACTGCTCTCTCTTCAGGCAGTAGGAACTTTTCCTGCTTCTTTGCTTCCTGGGGATTTTCTTTACCTTCAGTCTCATTTTGCAACCTCCCATGGTCACTGTAAGTCACTAACGATCGTGTTTTGCCCTGAACAGGAACATTTCGGTAGAGGAAAGTCAGGAGAGTTCCAGCTCTTCAGCTCTCCTCACGGGAAGGACCTGATGTTTAAGGACTCCACCCAGGGCTTCCTGAGGGTACCCGCCAAGATGGACACCTGGCTGTACCTGGGCTACATGTATGTCACCAGCGCTCGGAATGTGAGGGAGGACACACGTAAGTGCTACAGAGGGAACATGTGATCTTAGGGACTCGGGAGCCTGGAGAGGGTGGGCACCAGCAATGGGACCTGAACAACCACCCTGATGATTCTTTATCTGCCCTTCTGTGCTGCCCAGAGTTGGCTGGAAGCTCTGTGGCATTCTCCCTCCCTGGCTGTAACCAAAGGGTAGAAAATTTATATTTGAAGAGACTTGGGGTTTATACCTGCAATCATCCCTTTGTGTAAAGTCAGGGTCGCTCTGTCCACTTTGTGATGCTATTAGCCTGGCACAAGTAAGGCAACTAGAAAGCACCACTACCGATGGGCACAGTTGCAGCTCATCCCCCTGGCTGCCTTGTGCATGGAGAGCCTGGAGCACTACGTAAGTCGCTTCTGCTCCTGAGTATGCCGCTGGGGTCTTGTTTGACTACTCTCTTTCTTTCTTTCTTTCTTTCTTTCTTTCTTTCTTTCTTTCTTTCTTTCTTTCTCTCCCTCTTCCTTCCTTCCTTCCTTCCTTCCTTCCTTCCTTCCTTCCTTCCTTCCACTTTTTGGATCACATCTGGCAATGCTCAGGCATTACTCCTGGCTCTGCACTCAGGAATTACTGCTGGCAGTGCTCAGGGGACCATATGGGATGCTGGGAATCAAACCACGGTTGGCCTGTGCAAGGCAAACATCCTACCCACTGTGCTATCGCTCCAGCCCCTGACCACTCATTCTTGAATGAACTGACAGTCTAACCTTCGCTGTGCCAGGTGCGGGGCATCCTGTGGTGAGACGTATATTCGATCCTGCTCTCAGGGCACTTTCCCAGTGGGGACACAAATTCACTCACAAATAGCTACTCTATCAAATGACTAGAAATAATCTGCTCAGATGATAAAAAACAAAACAAAATGAAAGAACATGGTCTTCTGAGAGTACAAAACAAAGAAAAGCAATCCTGGAATTGAGGAGAGATTTCTGTGAGGGAGAGAACTGAGCTGAGTCTGCAAGGGCAGCAGGTGACCCGCACTCAGCTGATGTTTACTGCACTGACCATGAACAACACCAGTCATGCCCTGAACAATGGGGGCCACAGAGAATAAGTCGGCCTCTCTCCCTGGTTGAGTTTGTGTTCCCTTGGAGGGAACAATGAGCTACCAGTACATAAATAAGAGTAGCTGGTTAATGCAATTTCTCAAAGAAGATGGAAAACATATCAAACAGCCAGGAGTGATGGATTGATTACTCAGGAATCGAGAGGAGAGTGGACATCTCAAAAGAAATTATTTTTAAGCTAAATATAAATGATAAGAAATAAACCAAGAGACCATTATTGCCTTCACTTTTGAAGAGTGCTCCTGGGGTGGGAGCTGTCGGGATATTGCTGCAAAATCTCAGAAGTTGCGCAAAGACAGCAGCATTTATCACCAGCAGGTGACTTCTGGTGGCTCATCTGATCTCTAGTCCTCCTTCTTCTCATGCCGTAGGCCCGGATCCCCCAAATGAATGCAAGAAGGTGAAGTGGTGTGCAGTGGGTCACCATGAGAGGGCCAAGTGTGATGAGTGGAGTGTAAACAGCGGAGGCAGAATTGAGTGCGAATCAACAGAGTCTACAGAGGACTGCATTGCCAAGATTGCGGTATGTCACAGCATCCCTGCCATTGCATCTTGCTGTTCCTGGGAACGGCATAGGAATCGGGATCCCTGGAACCATGTCTTCCTTGGGGGTGTCTACCTTAAAGAAGCCTCAGCACTTTTGAGTTTATAGCTCTGAAGGGCTTCTTAGGGCCTTAATTATTTCTGGGTCAGCACACAGTAGGGCAAATGGAGGAGTGCCTGCTTGGGAAGTCATAATAAGAGATGGGGATGCCAGATAGGTATAACAGCCTGTGGTGTTTATGCAGGCTTCATTTAGTTGATCACTAGAACATTCTATGTTTGCTTCTGAAATTTTGAAAATCCTAAAGAAGAAGAAGAAAATAAGAAGGTCTGTAATCTTCGAGCTCAGAGGGAAAACTTGTTAATTGGGATAGACAGCTCTGGAGAGCTATTGAATATTTCTCAAGTCACCTGATTTTTTGTTTGGTTAGTTTGTGGCCACACCAGACTGTGCTCAGAGATTACTCCTGACTCTGTGCTCAGGGATCACTCCGACTGTCTTCAGGGATCACTCCTTGAGGACTTGGGGGCACCATATAGGGTTCCAGGGATCCAACCTAGGTTGGTTGCATGCAGGCAAGAGCACTACCCACTATACTATCTCTCCACTCCCCATATCGTAGTTTTAGAAAATACAATGAAATTTTTGCTGTTCTGGGGATTAAAGTTAGGACTTTACAGAAGTATGTGCCTTAGCACCAAGCACACTTTGGCCTTCCTAAATCTAGAAAAAACAATTATTTAATTATTACATATCCCAGTGTGGATGGAATGCAATTATTTAGATATTTTCCATACTACCACTTAAACTTCTTTACTTCTTTTGCCTTTGTAAATCATACTTGCATGTTTTTGTTACAGCGGTAGGGCGTTTGCCTTGCACGCAGCCAACATGGCCAACCCGAGTTCGATTCCTCCGCCCCTCTCGGAGAGCCCGGCAAGCTACCGAGAGTATTCGATATGCCAGACACAGTAACAACAAAGTCTCCAATGGAGACGTTACTGGGCCCGCTCGAGCAAATCGTTGATCAACGGGAGGGCCTTTACCTTTATCTTTTACATGTTTTCTTTAAAAAGTTGTGCACATATTATTTAATTATTTGATTTGAAAGAACATTGCCATTCCAGTGGAAAGCTTAGCATTCTTGCTGAGTCTAACACCTCTGTAATTCAGGAGTGGTAAAACCTGAAATTTAATTTAAATATATTTCATTTGTACACCAAAATATCATCTACACCAAGCACTGAAATAGCACTCAGCTCTCGTGATAATCAGAAAGCACAGACATAGTGTCCAGACCCCAGTCCACTCATCTGTCATACAATTGAAACTTCAGTTGTATGTGTCCAAGATGCTGCGGGACTGTCTTTGAAACAGGAAATGAGGACTGGGTAGGGGGCTTCTGATAAGTCTAAGCAAGGTACCCAGAGTTGATCATCAGTGTATTAGGTTTGGGTAAATATGAGACACAGTTTCTTTTCCAGGCTGAAGGTACCAACGGATCCTTTGGGGATGCAGAACTTTTTACTTGTTGTCTCTCTGGGGACCTTCAGTATGTCAACTTCAAGAAAAAGTGGGGTGGGCAGGTGGCACAGGAGACAGTCTCTTTTCATCTGCTGTGATGTTTGGTGTCTTTGTAGAAAGGAGAGGCTGACGCCATGTCCTTGGATGGAGGCTATCAGTACATAGCGGGCAAGTGTGGGCTGATGCCCGTCCTGGCAGAGAACTACAGTAAGTGGAGGAGACGCCTCTCTGTGCTTTATTCTCTTAGGGCCATGGGAAAATCAAAGACTCTTAGCACAGCAGTCCCGAAACCCTTGCTCCCTGAGCATCTCCTACTGCCCCTCCCTTGTCCCATCCTTGCTCTGGTGAGGCTAGGCTCTTCTCTGACACGTCCCACCAGAGGCATGGAGGTGGGGACTTTGTTCCTGTGACATTCCAGCTAACGCAGAACCCACTGCAGAGGAGAGCCAAGTTCTCAGCTGGGATTCCCTAAAGTCTCCTTGCCTCCAAAACTTACAGCTTTTTCTGTTGTCCTGGTGCAGGGATTCAGAGAGAGTTTCAGGGACCACTGAGACAGAGGACAGATGGGGCAGAAAACAGTATTTTGTGGCTAATTTTCAGAGGCCAGTGATCTTGCAGAATCCAGAGATTCTACTTAGGGGGAATGTGGAGATACGTATTTATTTGAGTTTTGGAACACAGTAGGGTGGTGCCCAGGGTGTATTCCAGGCTCTTTGCTCAGGGATCAGTTGGGCCTCAGAGAACCATATGTGTTGCCAAGGATCAAACCTGGCTCCACTGTGTGCAAAGCAAGTGCCTTACCTGCTAGGCTACCTTTCCAGCCCAGAACCAGAGATATGTAGACTCTAGTTTTACTCTGAACAATGGCATGAGGAAGAGATGATTTTTGCATGAGTGTTTAATGATTTCTTAATTTTCTTTTCTTCAGAAACCCAAGATGCTGGCTGTACAAACACAGCAGAAAAAGGTGAGCTGGAAATGGTAACTGTGTGAATTAAAATAAATTCATGTTGTTTTGGAGAAAGGACATGGTAAACGTCAATGAAAATCAAAGATAGATGATGCAGTGGAAGAAATAAATTTTTGGAATGCAAAAGAATGTGGATTTTTTTACCTTTGCCATGACTCACATTCAGAAAATTTCACTCAGGACCAGAGAGATAGTACAGTGATCAGGCCATTTGCCTTGCACATGCCTGACCAAGGCTTAACCTCCAGTACCATGTATGGTCCCCTGAGCCTTGCTGGAGTGCCAGGGATCAAATCTGGGTTGTCTGCACGCAAGACAAGAGTCTTACCCTCTGCACTATCTCTCCAGTCTCCTTACTCCTTTTTTCCCCCTTGAGAAGCAAGGTAATTCTTTATTGAACTAAACTTGCTTCTAAAGATATGAGAGGAGAGAAAGAGAGGAAATGTGTTCAAGGGAGAACACAGCTTTCTCCAGAGTGGAAATAATGAAGTAAATAAATGCAGAGACAAGCAAGGCTTGAAGAGCAAGCCTTTTTTAAAGTTCTGAATAATCTGATAAAGTGAATTGTATTTCACTTTAGTCAGTTAATGGTAGGATCTTTTCAAATAAGGAACAATGAATAATTTTGTTTCTGTAGGGATTTGACAGGCTCTGATGGCAGACGGACACTTGAGGAGGCCCAGTGGTATTAATCTTAAGTCCCTTTTTGTTGTTTTCCTCATAGGGTATCTTGCGGTGGCAGTGGTTAAAGCATCATCTGGTATTACCTGGAACTCTCTGCAAGGCAAGAAGTCCTGCCACACTGCAGTAGACAGAACCGCTGGCTGGAACATACCTATGGGTCTGCTCTACAACAGGATCAACCACTGTAAATTTGGTGAGTGCCTCTTGGGAGGTCTCTATGCTCACTGCCAGGCCCAGAGATGTGTACTAGGAAGAGAGAATACGGATTGTTTTTTCGTTCCCTTTCTCTTGAACACCTCTCTCTGCTGTGTTGTGCAAAGTTAAATATTTTAGGACATAGAAGAAGAGAAATACTGCATGATATCACTTATAAACAACTAAAAGCAAACTGAATTCAGAGCTACAGAGTAGATTAGTGATTTCTAGATGTAGAGAGTTGGGAGGAGGGCAGGAAAATGGGTAAAAGTGGTCAAAAAGTATAAACTTTCAGGTATGAATAATTCTTGGGGACTTACTGTACAGTATGGTAAATATGGCTAATAATACTGCATGATATATTTGAAGGTGTAGAAGAGAATAAATATTACAAATTTTCATTATAAGAAAAAGAATTGTAACTATATAGTGATGAACATTACCTAGACTTAATCCAGATGATTTTGTAATACATTTGTAATATTGAATCAATGTGTTGCACACCAGAAACTCAGTACTGTTATATCTCAGTTTAAACAAATCGTAGCATGGTAGCATGGTCCTCCCGTTGTTCATCGATTTCCTCAAGCGGGTCCAGTAACGTCTCCATCATGAGACTTGTTGTTACTGTGTTTGGCATATTGAATACATCACAGGTAGCTTGCCCGGCTTTGCCGTGCAGGCGAGATACTCTCGGTAGCTTGCCGGGCTCTCTGAGAGGGGTGGAGGAATCGAACCCGGCTCGGCTGGGCCAGCTGCACACAAGGTAAATGCCCTACCGCTGTGCTATCGCTCCAGCCCAAAACAAATTGTATCTCAATTAAAAAGTTAATAGAGAATTTTAAAAATTTTTGACTAGTAAGAAACAAGGGGATATAGGTATTCATTGTGTGAACGTTATAATCGCTGCTACTCCTCGGGTCACTTCCCAGTTCCTGCGCCCCTTTGAGGGTCTGGAAATCAGACCTTGTTCTCAATGCTCTGAATAGCTTAGTTCTACTTCCTGAAAGTCTCTGTGTAAGTTAGCCCTGGAGAAATGCTTTCTATTGCTTCTTTCTCATTTACATGAACTTCCTGTTACATCCTTCCTGCTAAATATTTGCAACCACTTTGAAAGGAGAGACCTCTAAAGACAGTTAGGAACCAGACAAGTCTGGGTTCCGAGGAGGGCCTCACAGATAAGATCAAATTGCTACAATTCCAATGCTGGTGGGCAGCAAAATTTTTCTGGGTGGCATTTCTGGTTTCTCACTCTACTAGGGGACTGCCAGGCCCCCTCCCCTCCCACCACTTCACAGCCACAGACAACAGTTAAAGCTGTGGGGGAGATGTCCCAGTCTCTTCTTGGGCTCGGACTTCTCAGGTCCATTAAAGCCTCTTCTAAAAACAGCCGGGGAAGGAGACTATGAAAACAGGGTCATAAGCTCAGGGAATGAGCCTTGGAAGCACACGTTCTTTCCATCTCTTTTCTCTTTGGGTTAAGTGATGCCACTGTCGGGGTACCCATGAACTCTATCAGCCAAATTACGACGCTCACTGCTTTCTACTCCGATCCTCAATTAAGTTTCCTTTTAAGTGAGCCCATTCTTCCCAGCTTGGCCAGACACACCTGTTCTGTGTTAGGCGAAGGCCACCCAAATGGATTCAGCAAGAACTGACTTCCTCTTGTTCTTCTGCACAGATGAATTTTTCAGTCAAGGCTGTGCCCCTGGCTACCGGCAGAATTCCACTCTCTGTGAGTTGTGTGCTGGCTCAGAAAGTGTTCCAGGAAAGAAGTGTGTCCCCAACAACCATGAGAGATACTATGGCTACACCGGGGCTTTCAGGTGAGTTTCAAGGAATCGTTTAGAGGAATAGAAGGAATAGTTCATAATAACGCCTATCCTGACGGGTTTCAGTTGAGGAAGGAGGGTGAAATTCTTTCGTTCCTAGCCCATAGTCCTGCGTGTGTGAGGGTACCAGCTTAGCAAACACAGGGACAGTCCAGGCCTCTCCAGGATGCTGTCCCCAGAGACCTCACAGTGACTGACAGTCGGAACTGGCTCTACAGTGCTGATTAGAAGTTCTCGCTAGGAAATGATATACCTCCCACCTTCGGTGCATTCGACAGCATAAAGGCTTTTTTTCAATTATAAAATAGAGCAAGGGGGGCTGGAGCGATAGCACAGTGGGTAGTGCATTTGCCTTGCACGCGGCTGACCTGGGTTCGATTCCCAGCATTCCATATTGTCCCCTGAGCACGCCAGGAGTAATTCCTGAGTGCATGAGCCAGGAGTAACCCCTGTACATTTCCAGGTGTGACCCAAAAAGACAAAATAAATAAATAAATAAGAGCAAGGGTTGCTAATAACATCTAACCTGTGGATCTGTATGAATAACACAGAGTCTCACAAAGAAGGAAAACAAAAATGTTGCTAGTGCTGAGGTAAGGGAAAGCTTAGCATAGTTGAATATAGGATTCGGGAGTCTGAACCAGGCTTTCATGCACGTCTGAGGAAACTGTAACCATGTTTACCTGGAAATACACAAAAGGAAGGCACATAATCGCTACACTTCTATTTTATGCTTAACCTTTTTATAGAGACTCTTGTGCACCTCTTGACTTTATTAATTTTTTTTTAGCTTTTTGGGTCACACCCTGCAATGCACAGAGGTTACTCCTGGCTCTGCACTCAGGAATTACTCCTGGCGGTGCTTGGGGGACCATATAGGATATTGGGGATGCAACCCAGGTTGGCCACGTGCAAGGCAAACGACCTACCCGCTGTACTGTCATTCCGGCACGACTTTATTAATTTTTCACGAGTAGTTCAGCTGTACAATAATGGCGATAAACCTATAAATCATTAAGGAAAAATTAAGATGATCCAATTTATGGCTTAGAATGACCATGTGAGTTATAGTGAGTACAATTCACAGTTTCCAGTTTTCACAAAGTAGGGTGTAAGTAAGGAATAGCCTTGCTGGAAAATGACTAACATCTTGATAGATGCTAGGAATTGACCTAGCTCTGATGAGGGTTCAGTGTATAGAATGTGGAGTGTATAACTACATAGAAAATAGGAAGGTTAGAGGCTGGAGCAAGAGCACAGCGTATAGGGCGTTTTTTCTTGAATACAGCTGACTCGGGTTCAATTCCCAGCATCCCATATGGTCCCTCAAGCACCGCCAGGAGTAATTTCTGAATGCAGAGCCAGGAGTAACCCCTGAACATCGCTGGGTGTGACCCAAAAAAGAAAATAAAAAGAAAATAGGAGGGTTGTTTTCTTTTTGTTTATTAAACACATAATCTTCATGACATTAGTGAAATAAGGATAAAGGGGAAGTTCTAATTGCTGGTATCACATGACCAGCCCTGGACCTAGAAGACAGCAATCCTGAATGACAGATGTGTCTCTGACCTCCTCTCTTCTGTCCCCGTCTCTGGCAATCTGCAGGTGTCTGGTTGAGAGAGGAGATGTGGCCTTTGTCAAAGACCAGACTGTCCTGCAGAACACTGGGGGTATGTACACATCCTTCTCTGTCCCCGTAAGTCAGAGTCCCTAGATTCGCCATGCTCAGGACACCTTTATGGAAGTGCTGTATGCTCTGTCAAGAAGTGTTCTCTCCGGCTCTGACTATTTTGTGAAGGGAGATGTGTTAACCTGAGTCAATGGAACAGTGAAGACCATGAGGTTCCCAGTTGTTTCTGAGGAACCTTCAGGAAATTTATATTATAATGGACTTGATACTCATCACATTCACAATTCATATTGAAACTTTGTGAGGCATCCCAAATAGGTCTTTAAACTATGCCTTACATTTCCTAGATCTGCTCACTGAGAAGACTAGGAACAGCGACGCAGCAGTAAGAATGAGCACCAAGATCTTGGCTTCTAGAACCATTTTGTACTAGAATGATCCAAGGCCCCATGGGATAACTGATTATCTGGGACAGGAAAAATATGTATGTTGAGTCTGAAATATCACACTGAAGTGTTTAGGATGAAGGGACATGGCAAAACACATGGATGCTCTTTTGAAAGGCTTCTCATTGACCCAGAATGGATATTTTGAGCATTAAAAGAAGCCATAGGGGGCAGAGATGTAGTTCAAGTGGTTCCATCCCTGGTACTTGGTACTGAATGTCCTCCCTTCCAGAACCACCATCTGGGGCCCCACTGACCCCCGAGCACCAATGGGATTGAACTTTGGTAGCGAGAGATGACCACCCATTGAATCAAATCAGAATACACAGCCCATTCTGATATTAATGAAAGTGAAGGGAAAGTACTTCCCTATCAAGGAATCCTAATTAATAAATATGGAAAGTATGATAAAAGACTATCTTTTGGCAAACTAAAGATTAATGATCGCTTCAAGAAATGATCACCAGTAGGTATCAAAGCAGTGGATGAATAAATATTGGATAGCTGTAATATTAGAAAACAAACACACAAGTAATGACTCATGGGTCCCTGCTCCCTCTTGGTCTCTCCCCACTGTGGAACTTGTTAGTGTCTAGGCAGTTATTCCCTCCCTCTTGTCCTCGCACTCAACCTCAAATCCTTCCTCTTCTAGAGTAAATTAGCAGATCCCCAAATCCTCCAAGAAGCCTTCCAATACAGCACATCCTCATTCCACAGTAGGAGTCATATTTAGGTATTGCTATTATTTAATTCATTAGTCTTCAGTAACTGTGGAAACTCTACTTACTTAAGGAAAATAGGTTTGACTAGTTTTTCTTTCTTATTATTTTTGCCTTTCCCCACCTAAAGATTTTCCTTATTGTACCAACAGAACAATTTTACTGTTTTTCTTTTTCTCTTTTTCAACTGAATCACCATGAGTTACAAAGGTACAAAGATGTTTAAGATTGAGTTTCAGGCCTACACTGTCCCAACACCAAGTCTTGCTAGGATCCTCTTTGCTCCCAGAGAATCTTTTCTTCTCTCCCTCTTACCGTGTCACACGAGACACACCTAAAGCCCGTCTCCTTCTTAGTCAGTGTCTACTGCATGTGTTCTCAAGGTGCTGGTTCTGAATTCAGACAGCACCAGGGAGAGTGTGTGCCACAAACTAGAAAGAGCTTTTATCTGTGCCCTGAATTTCGCATTTGGTTTCTGTTCTATTTTCCTCTCCTTTAAGACTATGTCTTGGCGAAGACAGAGACCATCATATTCAACACTAAGAGCTAAACTTTCTAACTAGAACAGAATGAGTTTGGAGACAAAGACGCTGGTGGTGGTGGGCTGGAGGTAAAGAAAGGAGAGATGTGAGAGGTGATTTGTATAGTGACTCAATGAGAGAGAAGCAGGTGATTTGGAGTTTTCTATTAAAACTAATAGCTTGGGGAAGTGTAGAAAAATAATATTTTCACATTATATGTAAAAGTTATGATAGTGAATCCATGTGTTACTTGTTGAGTCCAATGAAAACTATTAAAATTAATAAAGGATTAAATTCTTGCTTTTTATGGCAGGAGGGAGGGTTGTGGAAACTGGGACAACACTGTGAATTGCTTCAGGAAGATGGAAGGAAAAATGTTTTTGGAGAAAATATTGAATGATGCAAGGATCTGAGAAAAGGAAATGAACCAACACAGAGGCCTGAGCTCATAGATCTAATAGGAGCAAATCAGACTTAAAATACTAGCATAGGGGCTGGGGATATGACCCAAATGGTTAGCATCGCCTGGCACAATGAGCCTTGAGCTTGCTCTCTGGCACTGCAGGGCCCCCTGCCACGCCCCTAGCACTAAGTGTGGACCTGGTAGACCCCCTCATCACTGAGGGTGTGACCTCTCTATAAAAATAAAGAATTTATTGACCCAACGTGCAGAAGGGAAAGTCTTGCTTGGTGGTACCAGCATGGTATAGTGCAGAAAGTATCAATCTGCTTGTAGAGCCAGAAGTCCTGGTTGAATTCAGTAGAATGTAGACCTTTTTGCGCCCTATCCCAGGATGAGGTGGGGCAGGTTGGTCAGAAACATTTCTGGTTTGAGCTTAATCTCCTGTGGACAGGGGGCATCTCTCCCTTTCCACACCCCAGAATACTAGCATACTTTACTGGCCCCTGGCTCCTCCAAATGCCAGTGGGCTTGGTCACTCCTTGTGGAAGAGGACTTGACTAAAGGCATTGGTGAGGCTGACCCCTCTTTTGAACCCCAGGAAAGAACACTGATGCCTGGGCTAAGGATCTGAAGCAGGAAGACTTCCGGCTGCTGTGTACTGATGGCTCCACAAAGGCTGTGACTGAGGCTGAGAGCTGCCACCTTGCCAGAGGCCCAAATCATGCTGTGGTTACGCGGAAAGATAAGGCAGCTTGCGTTCGCCAGATGCTACTTGACCAGCAGGTATGGAGTAGCCAGGCCCTTACTGTTTCCCCTGGGTAGATGGGGATTGTTTGGGATTGATCCCAGTGGCATGCAAGCTGAGACTCATGCAGCCTTCTCCTGCTGGAAACTAGATTTGGGAGGGAATGGGTTGGGGAACAAAGATCTCCCAGGCCTGCCTGTGCCTGGTCATTGGAGATTAGTCCCCGTTTGATATATGTGTCCTCAATCCAAGGTCTGTCTTCCTGATCACCCTTGATCTTGGCTGGAGTGATAGCACAGTGGTAGGGCGTTTGCCTTGCACACAGCCAGCCCGGCCGAGCCGGGTTTGATTCCTCCGCCCCTCTCGGAGAGCCTGGCAAGCTACCCAGAGTATTCAATATGCCAAACACAGTAACAAGAAGTCTCACAATGGAGACGTTACTGGGCCTGCTTGAGCAAATCAATGAACAACGGGAGGACAGACATACATACAGACTTGTTCGGTGTTACCCCAATTTTCCCCCTGCATTCCTTTTTAAAATGAAGGACAAAGGTTCTATTTCTAGACCTTTCTAAACACAGGTCATGACATGTGAACTGTGTTTTTCTTGCTTGGCAGATTGACAACCATTCCAATAACCAAAAACCAAAACCAAAAACCAAACAACAACAAAAAACCCTAATGGGACTCTTTACCCTGGACCCTCACTCCAGGAAACTTGTCATTTTGGAAAAACAAGCAACTTAAGGTCCCTTGTGGGGAAATGCACAGCCTGAATATTCTAATCCTAAGGGTTCCCCCTTTTATTTCGGTTTTGGTTTTGGAGGAGCTATACCTGGCAATGCTCAGGAGTTGAGCCCAGGTTGGCTGTGTACAAGGCAAGCACCCTACCCCCTATACTATCTCTCTGGCCCCAACTAATCCTAAAGATTCCTTCAGCTACAACCATCACCTTGCCCCCAATGACAGCTCCCAGTCTATTGTTTCACTATTAGTTTTGTTTAGAAAAAAATTACCAATCTTTGTGGGCTCTCTTAAAGTGAGTGTTAATGACATTACACATGTGGAGTTCATGCCCAATTCAATCAGCTTAATCAATGGCTGAATAAATTGCAGTACTCCTACGTTTAAAAAATAATAATAACATTACACATTTAATGAGCAGTTTTCTCAGTGCAGATGGAACGCTAGTAAACTGCATAATCATCCTTTCACTGCTTAGGAAGCCTGAGGTAATTGAGCCTCTTCTCCCCACTTCTGCTTTTTTTCTTTTTTATTAAATCACCATAAGATAACACAATTACTAAGTTGTTCATGATTTTCAATTATACAGTGTACCAACACCCAACCCTTCACCAGTACACATTTCCTATTGGTGGTAGTCAAGCTTCTGTTTCAAGATAGGATCAGACTCAATCAAACATGAATTTTTGGGGGGACGAGGGGAAGTGGTATGCAGGGCACACCAAGCTGTGTTCAGGGCTTACTCCTGGCTCTGTGCTCAGAGATTGTTCCTGGCAGCTTCAGGAGACCAATGGGGTACCAGAGATCAAATCCAGGTCAACCGCATGCCCAGAAAGTGCCTTACCCACTCTGGCAACAAGGATGAACTTTTGACAACAACCAGTACCACACTCCACCCAGGAGCTCACATTTCCTATCTCCCCCCACAGTAACATTTGGAAGGGACTTGTTTCTTTCTTTATTTCCCGTGAGCATCCCCCAAGGAATGTGATCAATAAGTGGGGAAGAGAATTCAGACAAGTCGGGGCCAAGGTGGAGGGGTGAGGAAGACATTGCGGAGGAGTTGGGACCAGGATAGACTCTGTACAGAGAATTCTGAAGTCTCATGGAAGCTTGAGTCTGGAGCCGGAAATGATGAATGCCTGTGATGGATGTAGGAAGACCCTGTAGCATATCCCTCAGTTTCCCTTCCTTCCTCGGCCAGTCCCCAGGCTGCAGCCTCCTCCAGCCCAGCCATTTGTACTTACTGTCCTGGCCTCGGGTCCTCACACATTTTTTCTCCATTTGGCAGGCCGAGTTTGGAAGAGGCTCTGACTGTTCCGGCAAGTTCTGTATGTTTCACTCAGAAACCAAGGACCTTCTGTTCAGGGACGACACATTATGTCTGGCCAAACTTCCAGATTCAGCAACCTATGAAAGCTACTTAGGAAGTGAGTTTGTCCAGGCCACCGCTAACCTGAAACAGTGCTCCACTTCACGTGAGTAGAGGGAACAGCATGGGGGAAACACAGACCTTACACAGGCAGGGTTCCAGATGGGGGGAACCAAGGGAAGAGAGGACTGTGGCCCCCTGGAAGGATGACCACGTGAATAAGGTGAAAGGGTGAGGGAGTAACGGAACTGGGAGTTCTTTGAGAGACTGCTTGCATGAGGAGACAATGAGGGGCTCCTGGGCTCAGGGCACTGAGGTAATGAACTACCTAGCCGTGGAGAAATCTCTTGCAACTAGAAAAGAAAGCAGGTGTGTGCACATGCACATTTTGTGCTGCTCTATAACAGCAAGGGATATCACTTCATCACTTGAAGTAATCTGGAAGATCTGCCAATACCATGTGGGTGCAGGGTGACTATTCTTTCACTTTTGTGTGCATGGAAGTGAACCAGGGTTCTTAAAATATTGTTTCCTGGGCAGCACATATGTATTTTAACAGCTTCCCCTTGTCATTCTGATAGAAGGAACAAGTTTGCCTTTGCCACTGTTGTCGCATTGACTTACTCTATATCCTTCATGATGGGAGAGAGTCTGGCTTTGCTATTCTCTGCTCCCACTCCACATCTGAGCACAGAAACTGGTAATTCCAGGTGCTTGGTGCTTCTTGCTGTGCTCTGTTCATATTTCACCTGCCAAAATCAGGGCTCTAGGCTGCTTCTCTCCCCAGGAACTCAGGTTGGGATGAGAGAAGGTAGGGAAGCCATGTTTCCATCTTCAGTTTGTGGCACTGCCTTGAGAAGCACAGGGGCTGTGCAGGGGATGATGAGAAGGCAGCTTGGACACTACTGGTTCCACACACCAGAAGAGCAGGGCATCAAGTACCAGAGTGAAGTGTTTATTCACGAAATAGAAAATAAATGTAGTTGATTTTGACTTTCCTATCTCTCTGCTTTGCCCTCCCAGAACTCCTGGAAGCCTGCACTTTCCACAGAGTTTAAGACCCAAAAAAAGGGGCCACCAGCAGCTGGAGATGAAGCTCACATGTACCCCAGCTTTCCTCTGACTTCCTTGCCTAGACCATGTGGCTGCCTCCATGGAGTGGAGGTGGCATCTCTAGAGGACATCAAATAAAAGTCATTGATTTATCTTTTAAAAATCTCATTCTTTCCTAAATGTTTGGCCTAACATAACTTAAAATACTGCCTGGCTATTTCATATGCATCAGAACCCTTCTGTTTTTGTTTTGTTTTGTTTTTTGGTCACACCTGGCTATGTTCAGGAGTTACTACTGGCTCTATACTCAGGAATTACTCCTGGTGGTGCTGGGACACCATATGGGCTGCCAAATGGTCTCACTGAACCAGAGTCAGCCACATGCAAGGAAGATGCCCGGTCCACTGTACTATCAATCCGGCCCACAATGGAGCCCTTCTTAAAATTGGCACTCATTTATTTTCCAGTGATTGTGGTAGCATAGCCACATCATCCTAGTAGGGTACAGTTTCAGTCAGAGTTTTTTTCTATGTGAATCCACATGCAGAATTTCATTATAATGGAATCACATGTGTGTGGCGCTCTGTGTGTGTGTGTGTGTGTGTGTGTGTGTGTGTGTTTCCAAGGAAAACAAAAGAAGATTGTGGAGTGAGTTACGAAAATTGAGCACTCAGGGGATGACAAAAAATGAGTGTAGAGATTTATATTTTTAAAACTTTGGTTTTTTGTTTTTTGGTAATTTTTTGTTTGGGGACCACACCTGATGGTACTCAGGACTTACTCCTGGCTCTGTGCTCAGAGATTACTTCTGGTGGTGCTAAGAGGACCAATGGGGTGCCAGGCATCAAACCTGGGTCAGACGTGTGCAAAACAAATGCCCTACCTGCCCCAATATATTTTTAAAATATTTTAAGTGATTGATGAGGTATGGTTTCGTTTCTGGTTCTAACTGGTTGGAAAAGTGAAGCGCTGAGACATCTTATTAAATCTAAGTTGACCTCAATTCCCATGGCAGTCACTGCCTGCTTCCCTTCTCAGTCAGAATCCTGAAAGGCAGAGCCTCATCTACCACGCCTCATTTAGGGCTGACCAAACAGACATAAGTCTTTGACCTACTTCTCTTCAATTAAGGCCAGGGTTAAGGTCTCCCAGTCAAGGTAAAGGTGGCCACCCACCAAATCCCCATGAAAACCAAGTTAAGTTCTTTCAGTCACACTCTGTTTTGAGTTTTGAGTGAATAGTACGGTGGGCTGCTCAGTCTTTCACAGACTATCCCAGCTTCTCTGCCACCACAGTTCTGGGCTTTAGTTCCAACCTGGCACTGGAACTTGTCTCTGCTGATCTTTCTAGCCTGGATATAACATGAAACTCTTCCTGGACATCTCTTAATCTAATGCTCATCTCACTTTATTCTGCCCCTTCCCTCTCTGACTTCCCTGTCATTCAACTGTCATTTCCATATTGTTCACAACAGCCAAAAACATGGTCCTCCATCCACAAATCAAGGAGTGAAATTTCAAAAATTTCAAACCCTATTTGCCCCCACTTCGCGTCCAACCCATTCCCCTCACTTTGCTCCTTAATTCCTAACTCTTACCATGGCCATAACTATATTCAGGGGCAGAGCAGCAGATGGGGGTTCCTGGGAATGATATGTCACAACTCTTCAAATCCTGTAGTAACACTGTTTTGCTTTACTGAGATGCCCTAATTTTTTTTGAGGTTGTTCTCTTTCTTATTGTATTGAATTAATAAACCTAACCTTAGAGTATCTACCATGAACCAAACTGTGTTCTGGGGACTTAAATATAGCAGTGTTTTAAAATAATTAAAAACTATCATCTCTTAAAATAATTTCAATTAGGTTACCTATCTGTGTTGGAGTCTTAGGGGTCAGACCTTACAGGCTTTTAGAAGGTAATACCTCACAGTCTCTGGCAAGGAGTCCTAGAACAAAGGATTCTGCGAAAACTCTTTCCAGATAACTTGCTTGCACTCCCAGTTCTCAGTTTCAAGAGACCTTGTAGACTTAGCAAATTCCTGCTTCTGGACAACCACCTGGGGAAAAGGCAAGCTAGAAGAAAATAAGTTCTTTTTCTTTTTTAAAGAAAAAAAATTCTTAAAAGAAGAAAACTGGCTGGAGGGTCCCACAGCTCCCGGAGAATGCTCCAGGTCCCAAACAGAGCCGTTATCACCGGGAGGTCCCAGATAGGGTAGGTGCTGCCGTCCCGCCTTCTCCAGATGGAACCCTGGTGACTGTTGGGTAACATTGCTTTGTCCTTCAAGAAGCTTAGGTTTTATCTGGTTACACCCATTAATCTGGTTACACCCATCAATCTGGTTACACCCATCACAGTGCTCCTGAAGCACTTCCACTTCCATTGTGTTTACATATAAACATGTAAACAGTCTTCCCTATGCTCTCCTTCCCACCCAGTTAATCAGCTTTCCCCTTAATCAGACTTTGTTAATTTGTAAGATCAGTTTCCCAGAAGTCTATGATTTTATGAGTGAAATATTGCCTTTCTCCTCTCCCTATGCCTTATGAATAGTTTACCTTAAAGTAATATCCTTTTTGTATAGATACAGGAAGACCGTTAACATTATGCTTTGTAATTTAGGATTTGATTGGCCTTGAATATTATTCACTCCCGGGCATCTTTCTCGACTTAAGCCTCAGTTGCCCTTAGTTCCTAACACCCCAAAAGCAGGGTCCCGAAGAGGGACTGAATGGACCCAGGGCAAGCAGTGAGCTACCCTGGCAGCGAAATGGGCCAGGCCAAGGTGCCACGATTCTTAACTATAAGTTAAGAGTTTGATCATAGACAAATGCTGTCATGATCCAAAGGTAACGACAAGACTAGGATCCTGCTAGGGGTGGGAAAGACTATTTGGCCTGAGCACCTTAGTCTGAGATCGAGATGGCCCTAGGAGAGCAATTCTATAAGTTTAAGATATTTCTTACTGTATCCATACAAAATGATTTATATTATATTCTTGTATGCTTGTCGGACAAGGAGAGGAGAGGCACGCCCATGGGATTCTGCTCTAGGGTGGGTCCTCCTGCTGAGGAAGGATCTGTCCTAGGAGCGGTCTTCCCTGAGGCTAAAATTTCTACCCCTGTTGATCTCTACCCTATTGATTGTGACCGCACCTATGTAATTGTTTTCCCCAATTCCTCATGGAGAGAGGATTTAACTGTACTGTAGGAGTGGGCTGGGGCAGAAGGAAGAAGAGAGTTCAGAGAGGATCAGAACCCAGACTCCAGAGAAGGAGGATGAAGGGGAATGGAGAAGGAGAATGAAGTAGCTGGGGGAGGAAGAGGGGGGGCAGAGATAGAGAGACAGATGAGGAGAGAATCAGAATAAACTACGACTAATACCTACCAGCCTGGCCCTCGTTCCTTCCTCTGCCTGACCATCGCCATCGACCTCTCCGGGGTGGAAGAAGGGTGAGACTACCGAACGCGGGTGGCGGAGAGATAGAGCCGCCGCCGTGTGGGTGCCGTGCCCCCTCTTGTGTGAGTTTACACATTTACTTCCTACAAGCATAGCTCTGGCATGCGGGTACCAGGACATTTTTTTCCGAATCGTGTGGCCGCTTACGCAGCCGTGTGACATTTCCTTATATACAAAATGATCAATGGAAAGTAAATCATCCAACATTTATCCCTGAAAATCAGGCTCAACTCTTTTGCAAACCACAACACCCAAAAGGAGAGAGAGAACAAAGGGGAATGCCCTGCCACAGAGGCAGGGTGGGATGGGGAAGATGGGGGGTGGGAGGGATACTGGGATACGTGGTGGTGGAGAATGGGCACTGGTGGAGAGATGGGTATTTGAAAAGAATAATAAATAAAATTCTTAATGCTGTTCTTTATTCTGTATGACCTGATTTGCAAAGCTCTCTGGATATAAAAAAACTTCGTCCCCCTCCCTAGGGACTAAAGAATCACTTGTGATTTCTCATGTTCTTTTTGACTATGTGAAATAACTTCACTATCTCCATAGCACTGTAGCACTATTACCCTGTTGTTCATCGATTTGCTCGAGCGGGCACCAGTAACGTCTCCATTGTGAGACTTGTTGTTACTGCATTTGGCATATAGAATACACCACAGGGAGCTTGCCGGGCTCTGCTGTGTGGGTGGGGTGGGATACTCTTGGTAGCTTGCCGGGCTCTCCAAGAGGGACTGAGGAATCAAACCTGGGTTGGCCGCGTACAAGGCAAATGCCCTACTTACTGTGCTATCACTGCAGCCCCACTATTTCCATACTATTCATTTTTGTTTGGTTTAGTTTGGGGGCCACAGCCAGTGGTACTCAGGGATTACTCCTGGCTCTGCATTCAGGATTCACTCCTGGTGGGCTCAGGAGACCATATGCAGTTCTAGAGATCAATCCTGGGTCAAGAGCATGCAAGTCAAACACCTTACCCAGACTCTGTACTCCAGCCCTTACTCCAGCCCTTTATTAATCTCACATCTAACCTGTCATTCATGGAAATCTCATATCTGTTCCATAAATTTCTATTGGTTTGTGTTCATTTCTCCATCCAGACTGCCTTTTCACTGAAATAATGTTTGTCAATAGGGATAAAAATTATAGGTATAAATTATATAAAAGGTACATAACTCTATATAAAAAGTTATGTACGTAACTTTCTATATAGAAAAACTTTTTAAAAGTTATGTAAAAATTATATAAAATTATGTAAAACTACAATTATATAAAAGTTATAGGTACAAAAGTGAATAGGTATAAAAGTTATTTAAAAAAAGTATGAAACTAAATACCCAAGGGCAGTAGAAACAAGGGCCAGGAGGATTGGTCCACAGTTGGAAGCTTGACTCAAGTGCTGGGGCAGAAGGCAGCTGGGTTAGAGAAGGGACCACTAGGACAGAGTTGGAAATGATCACTCTGGTTAAGAACTACGTGCTGAAAGTAGGTAAAGAAACAAACACGATTACTTCTCAGCATCTGGATTGAAAACCATAATGCTCAAATGGAGAGAGAGAGAGAGAGAGAGAGAGAGAGAGAGAGAGAGAGAGAAGGAAAGTGCCTGCCATAGAGACATAGAGCCCGATTTTGGTTGGGGCAGGGCACAGTGGCAGGAGAGAAACTGGGCACATTGGTGGTGGGAAATGTACATTAGTGGAAGGATGGGTCGAAACATTATATGACTAAAACCCTATAATGAACAGCTTTGTAATTGTTTATCACAGTGATTAAATACAAAAAGTAACTATTAAATAACAATTTTATATGGTGATAGAATATAATTTTAGTGATACCATATGTATTCAATATTTGATTAATATATAGAGTATCTTACACTGTTCAATTTACAAACCATAAAGTGATTTTATTTTTAAAGAAAAAAGTTATAGGTATAAAGGTTTCTTGAGTTTTATGTAAAAAACAGATCTCACCTTAATCTGGAGGGCTCCCAAGTGGTGGTCAGGGGGCCCAGAGGCCCCCATCTGCTGGTCAGCAGTTCAGTGTAAGGGTCTGAGGATGCAGTGCTACTTGGACCCTGGAGTGCTGCGCATGTCTGGGCTACCTCCACTGTGCTGGGGACCTCCAGGGACACCCCTGACTGTGCTCAGGGGCTCCCATGTCTGTACCCAGTGATGGTTCCAGGAATCCAACCTGGGTGGGGCACAGGCTAAGCATGTGCTCTAGCCACTGGACCATCTCGTAGTCCTCACTTTTTGCAAAACACATGTTAAATGTTCTTTTTCAAATAAACAAAGAGTTAAGTCAGAGCCCATATGGGATTCACAGAATTGATGTCTCTGAGTCTGAGCTAAGTTCCATCAGACCTGGGGATATGCAGAAATGGAGAAAGGAGGAAACTGTGTTTGATGGGTCAGACATCTTGATGAATGGAAGAGAAGAAAAAATTCTTTCAATACACTTGTTTCATTTTAACTTCATTTTAACTTTGCTATTTAAATCACTGGACAGAACATTTTTTTCAGTGTCAGTCAATATCCCCATGTTCCTTCTCTGCACTGTTCCCCCCAGAACCTGGAGCTGAGCTTCCTAGAAGATGGAGCAACGTGAGGGCAGAACCCAACTGATTAATCACCTTCCCCTCACTGCTCTCATTCCTGAAAGCAACAAAGCAACATTTCCCTTCGGGTACTGTGCACATTTCTTCTGCCTTCATAACAGCCAGAAACAAATGGTGGGGGAATGTGATTAGTTAAAACCTTCTTTCACAACTCCCTGATTTCCAACCACAGCAGCCCTGTTTCGTTCCACTGACTGGGACTGAAGACACAAATACTTTTGGGAAAGTTATAGCAGGGGTTCATGTCTTGCCCTTCCTCCTTCCCTGTAGTTTCTGTCACTAGTGGTAGGGCTAATGACAGAATACAAGCTGTGACTTTTCTAAAGAGGATCAGTGCAACCATGTATACATATATGTAACCATATTATATATTATATAGGCGTTCTCTCTTTTTTAATTTTATTTTTATAATCTTGTTTACATAGTTCATTACAGTTAATATTCAAACACTGATCCCACCACCATGCATCTTCCCATCAATATAAGAGGAAAATGTGTGAAGACTGTTGTATTTCATCCTGGGGTCATTTAAGCCCTTATATAAGACAATACAAGCATGTATGTTAAAAACCCAAACAAATGTGTGCGATTTTTGGTACATCAGTGAGCTAGAGTATAAGAGGTCGTTACCGTGCTCCAGGATGTTCTGTGTCACTCTCTTCCAGGAGCTTTTTTTCATAGTCTGGACCTTAGCCATTGATGAGATTATATGGTGCTGGGGGCAGTTTGTGGGTGTGACTTCCAAGCTACTGAAAAACTAGGGAGCTGGGGGAGGAGGACCAGTCCCTTTCTGAGCAAGCTTGGAGATCTGTCACAGGTCCCGCATACCTGATACCTGGGCTTTTCTGTAGGTTCCCTCATAGGTCAGATCTCTCTCTCTCGATCTCTCTCTCTCTCTCTCTCTCTCTCTCTCTCTCTCTCTCTCTCTCTCACACACACATGCACACACACAGGGCTTAGAACCATAAGAACCATGGTGAGTTACTTACTTCATACTTCAGTTAACCTCTTGTGGACCACTGTAAGAATTAAATAGTACTGTAGTCTGTAGCACTGTTGTTCATCGATTTGCTCAAGCGGGCATGAGTAACCTCTCCATTCATCCCTGTCACACAAAATGAGACTTGTTGTTACTGTTTTTGGCATATTGAATACGCCACGGGTAGCTTACCAGGTGTTCAGACGTCTACCTGGCACTAGCAATAACTCATGTTAGCAATTACTCTCATTACCATTCTCTACCCACAGTAACTTTGCTTCCATAGCCTCCCATTCCCCATGCCCCTGGCACCACCTCCCAGATCCCCTTTTCTTCCAGGTCTCATCTCAGGGATTCTGTATTATAAGAGATGCTGCTGACCACTCTCTGGACATGCTTGACCTTGTTTCCTGGACTCTTTCCTCTTAGACTTCTTTGCAGTTTCCTTTCTTTTCTCACATTTCATGTTCTCCATGATTTAATAGCATTAATTACTTAATCAATTAATTTGAGTGACTCTCCAAGTAGTACTGGGGGGAACACTAGAGGCCACTTTGAAGGATATTTGTCCAACTGGACTGGATGACTCAATGCTAGGATCTGGCATTGTGGGGGGCACCAGGGCAACCCAGGGGTGCTCAGAGCCTCCACACAATCATGTGGTACTGGGGTTGGAACGTGAGACCCTGTGCCACTGATCCTTCTATTATTTCCTTCCTTCCTTCCTTCCTTCTTTCCTTCCTTCCTTCCTTCCTTCCTTCCTTCCTTCCTTCCCTTCCTCTTTCCTTCCCTCCTTTCGTCTCCCCTCCCTCCCTCTCTCCCTCCCTCCCTCCCTTCCTTCCCTACCTTCCTCTTTCCTTCCCTCCTTTCGTCTCCCCTCCCTCCCTCCCTCCCTCCCTCCCTCCCTCCCTCCCTCCCTCCCTTCCTTCCTTCCTTCCTTCCTTCCTTCCTTCCTTCCTTCCTTCCTTCCTTCCTTCCTTGTCTCACCCTGCATACTCAGAGGCCACATAGGTTTAGGGGACAGGCCTAGCTCTGAGCTCAGGGACCACACCTGGCAGTGCTCTGGAATCCACCTTAAGTGATACTGGAATTTGAACTAGGGTTTCAACTGCAGCCACAAACCAGGGAATTACCTTAATCTGCATGGCATCTTTATGGACCATAAATTTTATTGTCAATATTTGTGACTTGGGGGCCACACTCGGCGGTGCTAAGGGGGGGGCTCGGGGTGACACGAGGTAGTGCATAGGGGACCATTCGGTGCTCAGGATAACCCGGGTCTGCCAAATGTGATTTAACCCTTGTACTATCTCTCCAGCCTTCGCTTTTTTTTTTTTTAATTTTTATTAGTGAGACACTATGAGATACAGTGGTAGACTTACAAATTTTTGTGCTTGGGTTTCAATTATACAATGATCAAATACCCATCCCTCCACCAGTGCCCATTTCCCACCGCCATGGATCCCAGTATCCCTCCCACCCCCATCCCCCACCCCCCATCCCACCCTGCCTCTGTGGCAGGGCATTCCCTTTTGTCCTCTCTCTCCTTTTGGGTGTTGTGGTTTGCAAAAGAGGCATTGAGTGGCAATCTTGCTTGGTGTCTAGTCTACTTTCAGCATGTTTCTCCCATCCTGGGAGGATCCTCCCAACACCTTTTATTTGGTGCTCCCTTCTCTATCTGAGCTCCCTTTTCCCCTAGCATGTGTGGCTGGCCTCCAAGCCATGGAGCAAAATTCCTGGCACTAATCTCAGCCATTCTTGGGTGTTAGTCTCCTATTTTGTTACTTTAAGTTCCCCAGATGAATGCAGTCTTTCTATGTCTATCCTTTTCTTTCTGAGTCATTCCGCTTAACATGATACTTTCCATGTAGTACCACTTGTATGTAAATTTCATGACTTCATCTTTTCTAACAGCTACATAGTACTCCATTGTGTAGATGTACCAAAGTTCCTTTAACCAGTCATCTGTTCTCGGACACTCAGGTTTTTTTCCAGATTCTGTCCAGCCACCTCTTTGGGAGATAGCTTGAGCCATCGTTTTATTCATCTATTATTTTGTGAACAACCAGGAGGAGGGAGGGAAGGAGGGAGCTCATCCTTTAAGACACTGACCCATGTCTTAAAGAATGAACATGTCTTAGGGCTGGAGCAATAGCACAGCGGGTAGGGCGTTTGCCTTGCACGCAGCTGACATCCCATACGGTCCCCCCAGCACCGCTAAGAGTAATTCCTGAGTAATTCATGAACCAGGTGTAACTTCTGTACATCGCCAGGTGTGACCCAAAAAGCAAAAAAAAAAAAAAAAGAAGAAGAAGAAGAAAAATGAACACGTCTTAAAGAATGAACTGCAGCGGGCACGCTCCTCTCGTGTGTCCCAGGGAACTACAACTCCCATCGAGCCTTTCGGGAGGAGCCGGGGAAATACATCTAAGGACTACAAGTCCCGTGATGTCGCTCGCAGGACGCATGCGCAGGACCCAGGGCCACGTCGCTTTTCGGGGCGCCGGAGCGCACGCACGTCAGCTATGGCTTCCGCGGACACCCGGCGAGGGGGCAACGGCGGTGATGTGGGGGGCTCCTTCCAGCCCTACCTAGACTCCCTGCGGCAGGAGCTGCAGCAGAGGGACCCGACCGTGCTCTCAGTCGTGGTGGCGCTTCTGGCGGTGCTGCTGACGCTGGGTAACGAGGCGGGAGCGGCCGCGGCGGGTGCGGGGCCGGCGGGGTCCGGGCGTGCCTGCGCGCAGCGGAGAGTTGTTGGGGGGCGTGCAGAGGGGCAGAGACAGGCTCGCTTGGAGCTGGAGGCCGCGGGGCCGCCCTGCCCTACTGGGGATCCCCGCAGCCCAGGGTATGCCTGAGCACGGGGCCCCCTTCTTCCGTCGCGCCCCCGCGGGACTCGGATCTGGAGCCTGAGTCTGGCCCCCTGTTAGCCGAGCGCGGGCGTGCTCGAAGCGGCCGCAGTTGAGATGCAGAGGGTGCGGCAGGAAAGAGAGAGGATGGTAAATGACTGGCACTCCTGGGGGAAGGGGGCGGGGGTCCCCTGAACGACAGGGGCGATGATGTAGCATAGTGATGATAAGGGCACATGCAAGTTCCCGGCTAAGGAAGTGTGGGGTGGACTCTGATAACATCTCCACCCCAGTCTTACGTGCTGCCCTTGATCATCAATTCGTGTGTGTGTGTATGTGTGTGTGTTTCTCTATTCCACAGTGTTCTGGAAGCTCATTCGGAGCAGCAGGAGCAGCCAGCGAGCTGTTCTTCTGGTCGGCCTTTGTGACTCCGGGAAAACGTTGCTCTTTGTTAGAGTAAGTATTTGATTTTTATGCTACTCTTAAACCTGATAGGACACCCACCCACCCCTCCCAGTGAGGACATGGTTGATTTGGAAAGCTGGCTGATGCTGACAAATTGAGGATTTCATCTTGATGTACAAAAAGATTCTTGAGAAACCCACCAAGTGAAATGCTTGATCTAGTTTTTGGTTTACCTGACCCTGACGTTGACATCCTACCACTTAAGAGTCTTGTGTAAGTACTGACTTGCTGTGGCTAAGGATGCCGGAAGCTGGAGGTGGAAGACAGTGATGGGTACTCACTGGCCCTTCTATCCCTGAGAGATTGATTTCAGGACCCAAACTTTTGATGACAGAGCCCTTATGTATAACTTACATAGACACATTCTCTGGGATACCTTAAATTGTTTTTAGATTGCATATAAAGCCCAGTAATCCAATACATAAATGCTCTGTAAGCAGTTGTTAAACTGTATCGTGTAGGGTATAATGATAAGGGAGAAATTTGAAGACGCTCTTTACATTGCATTATAGAACTAACTATATAGTACCTGTTTGACCTACGGTCGAATCTATGGTTGATGATACAAAGGGCTGCGTGTATACTTTGTGTAATGAGTTCTTTTGAGAGCATATTACATTTGTTTTTTAGTGGGTGGTTCATCTTTAACATAATGAGCTACTTATGCTTTGTAAAATCAAGTACTTGGGGGTTGTGGTTTGGGCCACACCTGGTGGTGTACTCGGGGGCTATTCCTGGCTCTATGCGCAGCAGTGACTGACTGAGGACCATATGCTGTGGCAGGGATTTCAACCTGGCCAGCTGCTTGCAAGGCAAGTGCCTTACCTCCTGAGCTAACTAACTTCCGCTCCTTTAATATTTTTAAAAATCAGTTTGGGATTTATAATTTTTTTTTTTTTTTTTTTGCTGTGAAGAGTAGTAGAGTTTTCTTCAATCTTCTGCTTGAGAATATAAATTATTTCAGATACAATCCAAAGAAATACATACAGTCTAGTCATTTTTGATGATAAAATTTGGTCTCTAACCTTTAAAAACAACAGTGTTTTTAGGGAGAAGGGAGTGAAGTTTGCTCGAATTAGATTTTTCAATAAGTAAAGCAGGAAGAACATCAATATTCTTTCAACTATTGGAAGCAACAATCGTTTATTTGGCCTTATACCTAAGAGAACTAGAGCACATAGTGCTCTTTAGGTTTGCAATTTAAGTTGACTCTGATCTTGTTTGTCTTATCTTTTTGCAGTTGCTCACAGGACTTTACAGAGATACTCAGACTTCTATTACTGACAGTTCTGCTGCATACAGAGTCACCAATTCTCGGGTAAGAGGTTCCAGGAAGATCTGGAGACTAGATTTTTTTCTTTACTATGGCGTGTAGGAAAGGCTGTTTCTAGGATGCATTTGTCTGAGTGTGGCAACTCTCAGATTTTGTAGCTTTTTTTTTTTTTTTTTTTTTGGCTACACCCATCAGTGCTCAGGTCTGGCTCCTGGCTCTGTGTTTAGGGATTACTCTGGCGAAGGTTGGGGACCCAAACATGTGCGTGGGATCCTGCACAAGTTGACCACATGCGAGGCAAGCAGCCCACCTGCTGTGCTATCTTTTTTGCCCCTTCTTTATTAACAGTGTAACTGCCATAGCTTGGGTTTGTTTTCTTGTTTTCTTCATTTGTGCACATAGAACATTCTGGTTGATTTATGAGCTGCATGGTATCCCGCACAGTTAAATCCTTATCAGAACCTTAATAATAGAGATTTAGTTTTGTCTGTTGTTACAAGCTTTTCCCTTTAAAGTGTTAGAGTGGATAACTTACGAGTCTTTCAGAAGTACCAGTAAGGAATCATCAGGACTCTTTATGTACCTAAACACATATGTAAGTGACTCTAGAATGCAGACAGACTGCTAAGCCAGTTGCTTACCAAGTATTGAATGGGGCTGGAGTAGGAGCTCGGCGGTGCTGTGTGTTCTTTGCTCTATGAGCCCAGAGTGTGATTGATCCCAAGCACCACAAAGAGGAAGGACCCGGTGGGTGTGTTGGGGATGGCTAGGTCAGAATTGTAGAAGAGTGGATTGTTAGAAGGCGATCAGAGAGATCTTTCTTGCTATCTCTTTATCTCATGCGTCCAGAATTAAACATTATAAGCAGAGATTTCCCTTTAAATATCTTTCCATTTAATTATCTTGGATATATATGTATATTTTTTCTTTTCTCAGTAGTGGCACTCTTATTTTGGGTCACACCTGACTGTGCTCAGGAACTATTCCTGCTTGGCGCTGGGTTGATGCATTAGGTGGTGCTTGGAGGAATCATTTGGTTCAGGGGATTGAACCTGGACCACCTTCTCCAAGTTCCAGTTAAGGCCCTCTTTCTGGCCCTAAACGCCATGGATTCAGATTTTAAAGTTGACTTAAAAAATGGTTTGGGAGTTCATTCATTCTTGAGGCACTAATTCCAGAGATCCCATGTGGGATGTTCCATAGTACGTTTTAGACCTGTACTTTCCGTGGAGTGGCCACGGGTCACATGTGACTATTGAGCTCCTGAAATGTCACGTGTTCAATTGAAAGGGTGCTCCAAGTATAAGTACTCCTATGAACACAGGAGATCTTAGGATTTACAATGAAAGCAAGGATGTAAGATTATACTTTGATTTAAAGTTAAAAGACTATATTCTATTATGTTAAATAATCCAAGAATTTACAAATTTTACCTGTTTCCTTTTCCTCTTTAATAAGACTGTCAGAAGGCCATGTATGAGACTTGCATAATTCTGTTGAAAATTTGGAACATTCCTTTCTTCTCTCTCCTTCCACAGTCCTCTCCCTTAGGTTTTGGATCTCTTCCTTCTGGACTTCCAGGTGACCCCACCTGAGATCCTTAGGTTTTGACCAGTGTTACAAAGTGAACCAATCCACATTGTATATTTACCAGTAAAAGATTGCACAGACAGTGAGAGCTGATAAGTCCAACTGGCAATTTTGTCTCCTCTGTCTGTCATGCTGATCCCATCCTTCTGATCAGTGGTTAAAAGTGTTGTGGATAAGGGGAAATGTTTGTGAAATGATGCAGGGGTCTGCTGCAGGTACCATGCCATGCCCTGAATCTTAGGGGCACAGCCACATCTGCCTTGAACCTGCACTCCAGGATGCAGTCCTGGACGAAGAGCACCTGACTGGATTCAGGGCGCCCTTGCTCAGGAGAGGCACGACCCCTCCATGTGTCAGTGGGTGCCTTCTAAATTAGGAACTGACAGTAGAGAGCGGAAGAGCAAATACATAGTGTAACTAGTTGTCATTTTAAAATGGTGAATTGCAGAGGAATTGCTCGTTAAAATAACTTGGGGATTATATATTTGCAACACATTTCTGCTCTCAGATCACACTTTCTGATTCCCAGATAAGGTCAAGTTTCCTATACCCTCAGAACTTTCATCAAAGTTGTAATTATACAACTATCTATAATTTATATTATATTGCCTTTATTATTATTATTATTATTGTAAGTCCTGTTACAGTTGTTGGTCATGTTTGCTTTTGCTCATACTATATCCCCAGAGCCTTGGCTAATGATTTATAAATAGAAGCTGGTCTGTGAATTCTTTTTTTTTTTTTTTTTTTTTTGGCTGTTGTTTTTATTTTGGGCCTGAAGGGATAGCATAACGGGTAGGGCATTTGCCTTGCATGCAGCCAACATGGCCAAACAGAGTTCGATTCCTCTGCCCCTCTTGAAGAGCCCAGCAAGCTACCGAGAGTATTTCACCCGCACAGCAGAGCCTGGCAAGCTACCCGTGATGTATTCGATATGCCAAACACAGTAACAAGTAACACAGAATATCGGCATATTTGATATGCCAAACATAGATGAACAACGGGAGAACAGTGACAGTTTTATTTTGGAGCCACACCTGTGCTCAGGGTTACTCCTGGCTCTATGCTTGGGGATCACATCACTACTGGTGGTGTTTAGGGAACCATTCGTGGTGCGGGCGATCAATGAGCCTCATACAATGAGCATCAATGAGTCTTTTGCAAGGCAAGTACCCTGCTTGCTGTTTATTGTTCTGGCCCTTAGCCTATGAACATTAGTGTGAGGTCGTGAACTTTTCTGATTGGCTAAATGGGTACTGTTTCGATACTTGAAATCTGATATTAAACATTTACGTTGCCAATATCAGGACTGAGACCCTGTCATTACTGTTTTCTTCAGGGCACAAACCTGACCTTGATTGACCTCCCTGGCCATGAAAGCTTGAGACTTCAGTTCTTGGAGCGTTTTAAGGCTTCAGCCAGGTGAGTAAGAAGGGAGTTCAGTGGGCTTGTCAGAACTTGTCTGCTTAATAAGCTTTACCTTGGCGTTCGTTCCGGGGCTTATCAGTAAGGCAGCCTGTTGCCTGGTGTGAGAAGAGTGTGGATTGTGGGCTCAGTCATTTTCAGACCACCTCCGAAGGATTTTATGAGGATTGTATGAGATTGAAGATTTAAAAATTCATCTCTCAGAATGTGTAGAAACTGTTGATTTGTCATTGTGATTTTTTCATTTACACAAAGGACAAATTTAATAAGGTATAAAACATTAAAATCTTCAGGGAGATGCAGATCAAAACCACAATGAGATACCATCTCACACCTCAGAGACTGGCCCACATTCAAAAGAACAAAAGCAACCAATGCTGGTGTGGATGTGGCGAGAAAGGGACACTCCTTCACTGTTGGTGGGAATGTCCACTGGTTCAGCCCTTCTGGAAAACAGTATGGACGATTCTCAAAAAATTAGAAATTGAGCTCCCATTTGACCCAGCAATACCACTCCTGGGAATATATCCCAGAGAGGCAAAATTGTATAGTCGAAGTGACATCTGCACTTGTTTGTTCATTGCAGCACTCTTTACAATAGCCAGAAACTGGAAGAAACCTGAATGCCCAAGAACAGATGACTGGTTAAAGAAACTTTGGTACATCTACACAATGGAGTACTATGTAGCTGTTAGAAAAGATGAAGTCATGAAATTTACATACAAGTGGTACAATATGGAAAGTATCATGCTAAGCGAAATGAGTCAGAAAGAGAGGGATAGACATAGAAAGATTGCATTCATCTGGGGGATATAAAGTAACAAAGTATGAGATTAATACCCAAGAATAGCTGAGATCAGCACCAGGAGGATTACTCCATAACTTAGAGGCCAGCCGGGTATCCTAGAGGAAAGGGCAGTTCAGATAGAGAAGGGAGCACCAAATAAAGGATGTTTGGAGGATCCTCCCAGGAGGGGAGATGCATGTCTAAAGTAGACTATGGACTGAACATGTTTGCCACTCAATGCCTCTTTTGCAGACCACAACACCCAAAAGGAGAGAGAGAACACAGGGGATTGCCCTGCCACAGAGGCAGGGGGAATGGGGGGATGGGGGTGGGGGGGATATTATCCATGGTGGTGGAAAATGGGCACTGGTGGAGGGATGGGTATCTGATCATTGTATAATTGAAACCAAAGCACAAAAAATTGTAAATCTACAACTTAAAAAAAAAAATAAAATAAAGGGGAAAAAAAAACATTAAAATCTAAGAAAAGAATTTTAAAGTTAGGTAGCATCCTAGAAATTATTAAAATCAAACATTTCTGTTCTCAAATTACCTAAAACTGGTGACTCAAAAGCACAGAATGACTTTCTCATGTGTCATTTAATATTATCCTTGTGATACTCTCATTTCCTAAAATTGCTATACTCCAGCTATGTTGTTTTTCTGTTTCTAATACCATTAAGGACTTAAAAAAAATCATACTGATTTTAAAACACGTTGTATTATTTTGTCTGGTGGCCACATCTAGCAGTACTCAGGCATTACTCATGGCTCTGTGCTCAGAGATTACTCTTGTTGGAGCTTGGGGGACCACATATGGTGCTAAGGATTGAACCTTCCTCTCTACTGTTGTTCTTGCCTCTAAAACACATTTTTAATATCTATAAAGTTAGCATGCTACTTAGAGTTGGTAGTGTCCTAATTTCGTTTTTGATTTTGGGGCCACACCCAGCTTGGGGTGCTTGGGGATGACTCCTGGCTGTGTTTGGCGATAACTCCTGGCGAGGCTTGGAGGACCATTATTGGGTGCTGGGGATCAAACCTGAGTTGATCCAGTGCAGTGCACATACCCTGTCCACTGTACTATCCAGTCCCTGTGGTGTTCCTAGTTTAACTGTCAATATTTTTCCTTTCTTAGTTGTGCCTAAAATGATGATATGTCTTTAAGATGATGAAATCATCAGTTTTGGTTTTTTGGGTTTTTTTTTTTTGAGTATATTTTTTTCTTATTTTCCTCTTTGTTGAAACAATATATTAGTTTTATAATTTGATTTTTTTTAAATTTTATTTTGTTTTTATAAAGTTGATCACAATAGTTCATTACAGATAATATTCAAACACCAATCCCACCACTATGCACCTTCCCACCACCATAAGAGGAAAGTGTGTGAAGATTGTTGTATTTCATCCTGGGACCATGAAGCCCAGATTACAAGCATGTATGTTAAACCCAAACAAATGTGTGCTACTTTTGGTACATCAGTGGACTAGAGTATAAGAGGTCTCATGGCCACAAATGCGGCCTCTCGCTCTAGGACTTTCTATGGTTCTCTCTTCCAGGAGCTTTATTTCAAGGTCCCTGGACCTTGGCCATTGATGAGATTATATGGTGCTGGGGGCAGTTTGTGGGTGTGACTTCCAAGCTACAAGAAAACTAAGGAGCTGGGGGAAGGAGGTCCAGTCCCGTTCCGAGTAAACTTGGAGATCTCAGTCACGGGTCCCACATGTCTGGGCTTTTCTGCAGGTTCCCTCATAGGTGAGGCTCATCCAAGCCTGTGGAGAGCGGCTTTGAGCCTGGCTGCACAGTTGGGTTATGGAGGTTTTCAGCTGCTGGGGTTCTGCTGGGACAGGGAGGGAAACTCTACCCGTCCCCCTCTGAGTTGCCCCAGTGATGACAGCCTGTCACAGGGTCAGGACGTTGAAATCTTGGGTTTGACAGAAAGAGTAAATTAATTATTTTTAAGGCTGTTTTGATTTAATATGTCCCTTGCCCAAAAGAAACTCAAGCTAAAATAAAAAAGACACTCTACTGAATGGGAGAAAACATTTGCATACAATGCTTCTGATAAAGAACTAATATTTATAAGATTTATAACAAAGCTCAACAAGAAGAAAGTCCAAGAACCCGTTCAAAAATCAGGAGAGGAGGTAAACAGAAACGTCCCTGAAGAAGATATTTGAAGGGCTGGTAAGCATATGAAAAAGTGCCCTTCACTTATCATTAGGGAAATGCGAATCAAAGCAACAATGAGATAACAGTGAGATTGGCATAAATCAAAAAAACTGAAAACAGCCAGTGCTGATGTGATGTGGTGTGAAAGGGATCCTTGCTTACTGTTGGTGGGAAGGTAATCTGGTTCACCTTCTCTGGAAAACAGTATGGTGATTTCTCAAAAAAAAAAAAAGAACTTCCATAGAACCCAGTAATGCCACTTCTTGATATCTAACCCCCCAAATACAAAAACATTAATTTGAAAGGATATATGCAGACCTGTGTTCATTGCATAATGGCCAGGATATATGAAAACAACTCAAACGTCCATCTATGGTTGAATGGATCAAGAAGCTGTAGTGTATACACACACACACACACACACACACACACACACACACAGGAATACTGTGCAGCTAAGAAAAGATGAAATCAAACAATTTGCTGTGAGGATGGGACTAGAGGTTATTGTGCTAAGTGAAGTCAGGAGGACAGATATCAAACGATCTCTCATGTGTGAAGAATACATAAAAGGGAACAAGAAGTAACAAGACTGGAGAGTTGGTTTACAGAACTGAGCTTACTGGGTTTGGGGGAGAGGGGCAGGAACTAGGAAGGAAGGGTCTAAGGGACATTGGGGGAGGGAAGACTGCACTCTGGTGGAGGGTGTGGTGTTGGAACAATGGACGCATGAAACTCCCATAACAGTACTGTAAGTCACTGTACTCAATAAAAATGGGGCGGAGGGAAGAAATTGGTCTTCCTTTACTCCTGTTAGCACACACTCTGCCTAGCTGCTTTCCGGGTCTTGAGGGCAGGCATTCTTTTCTGTGGTCTTTCTAGCTCAGCAACCTTCGTTTGGTGTGCATGCCTGCCTATTGGCTCACTCCATGCCATTCAGTATGGTGGAACTCTATGCAGTCGAGGAGATTTTTTTTTTCAGCATAATGCTGCACTATTACAAGCTCACATGCTGTTCCTTTTTTTCCCCTCCTTCCAGGGCAGTGGTGTTTGTCGTGGATAGTGCAACATTTCAGCGGGAGGTGAAAGATGTGGCTGAGTTTCTCTATCAAGTCCTCATTGACAGCATGAGCCTGAAGAACACGCCCTCATTCCTGATCGCTTGCAATAAACAAGGTGCCAGCCTGGTTGGGGGGGTGGGGCTACAGTCACTGAGGTCTCTGGCATAGCTACTACGATTCAGTGCAGCTGTCTACAGTTGTTATTATTAAGGGTGATAATGAACTATTAATTGAAGGATTTTAAATCTTCATACTCCTGCATTTCATTAGTCTTACCAGGGGATGAGAGTGACTTAGCAAGTTTTCTTTGATACAGTCTCTTTTTACAAAGATAAATCATTTTGCTTTACATACTAGGTCGATCAGATTGACAGCTAATGTCGCATAAACAATTCTGAAATGTCAGGATGGAGATTGTCCTTTTATACAGGATTACCATCTGTCAACATTTTTTCAGAGGCCTCAGAAGCCTGGAGATTCTTGTTTGTTTCCTCTTTTTTGGCTTTTTGGGTCACACCCGGTGATGCTCAAGGATTACTCCTGGCTCTGCACTCAGGAATTACTCCTGGAGGTGCTCGGGGGACCATATGGGATGCTGGGGATCAAACCTAGGTTGGCCATGTGCAAGGTAAATGCCCTATCTGCTGAACTAGCACTCTGGCCCCTGAAGATTCTTGTTTTAACCATTATAAGCTTTGGGGCCACAGTGGGTGGGGAGTTTGCCTTGCTTGAATCCAACCTGCATCCCCTGAGCATTGCCAGGGTTATTCCTGAGTGTAGAGCCAGGAGTAAGCCCTGAGCATTGCCAAATGTGGCTCAGAAAACAAAACAAAACAAAGCTTTTAGCCATGCCATACTTAAAATAATTCGACTTTGTTTCAGAAGAGAGAATCAGACTAATTGATCTCTCCTGTAGGTCTCTTCTGATCTAAACCCTGATTCTTTGAAAGAACTCACAGCATTTCTCATACGTGATCAGCACCCTGCTCTGTCTGAGTGGTGTTCTGGTTCTGGTGCCAGTTTGCTGGTTCTTTTTCTTCTTCAATGGAACCTTTGCCCCTACCCCCATCCAGGGGAAAAGCACTCCTTAGCTTTCCCCTGGCAAGGAGTTCTGACTCCGTAGCAGCAAATCTCTCTGACATGATAGCTGTGTTCTCCAGTGAAGTTTTCAGCAAGGCCCTTTAGGGATGCTGTGTTTATTGTGTTTTTATGTGTTGTTATTATATTTCTTTAATGTTGCTGCATCAGAGCATTCTCAGCTGTTTATTTTCTGTCCATCTTGGCCCCATCACTTTGAGAAGAATCTCTTAGGTTCAGTTTGAGGGTAAGATTTATTCAGCTTCTGTTGTCTACTTGGTCACTAGACCCAGTTTCTTTCTGTTGTGTACCTGATGCTTATCAGTTAGAAGTGCACTCACTTTATGGCATAATATTCAGTGTTGGGATAAAGGCCTTTTTCTCTTTTTTAGTATCACTAAGTGTGTAGGTTTTCTTTTGTCACACCAGTTTTTCAGGTGTGGAAAACTTGTGAAAAAGCTAAAAATCAATTTCTGGGTCACCAGCTTAACATTTATAAGTATTTCCTTAGGAAAATCCACATAAGGAAATATAAAGCTTACTTAGATAATGATACTACTAAATGAAAAAAAGCTGTTTTCTAAGAAGGAAGAAGAAACTTCTGGCTTAAGAAAGTTTCTGTATTGGTTTAAACTATAATGGTGTCTCTTTTTCTTACAGACATTACAATGGCAAAGTCAGCAAAATTAATTCAGCAGCAGCTTGAGAAAGAACTGTAAGTATAGCTAAGTCCTGTTGGTTAACTGTTACAACACACAGGAAACAGGGTATGACCATTGATGAGCACAGTTGGCTGAGGATCAGTGCGAAGTATACTTATTATAATAGATAATAACAACCATGAATGGGACTTTATACACGTTTTCCATTTCTCATGGAAATAAGATCTTAGATTTATTGAACTGTATGCCCAATTTTTTTTTTAACTACTGTTGCTAGTGCTAGCTCATTTGCAGTCCCTATGAAAAGGCTTTAGAAACTAGATTTAAAAAACCATGGCAGCTTTTGTTGATATAAGAAAAGAACATATAGAACAATATAAAAATGTATGCTCTATTTCACAGCTTAGTTTTTTTGTTTTCAAGAAATGTATGCTCTATTTCATAGCTTAGTTTTTTTGTTTTCAAGTTGCATGGCAGTTGCATTGATTTAGATATTTTGCAAGTTGAACCATAAACTTGAATTTAAGGACTGTAGCATATAGTGTGTCCTGCTGGTTTGTGAAAGCTAAGAGCATATTTCCACAAAAGATAACCTTAACATTATCATAAAGCAGCTGTTTTCATTTTACTTTTATTGAAGTATACCATTCATTTGGGACCGGAGTGATAGCACAGCAGTAGGGCGTTTGCCTTGCACACGGCCGACAATGCCGACCCGAGTTCGATTCCTCCGCCCCTCTCAGAGAGCCCGGCAAGCTACCCCTGATATATTCAATATGCCAAACACAGTAACAACAAGTCTCATGATGGAGACATTACTGGGCCCGCTTGAGCAAATCGATGAACAACGGGAGGAGAGTGGCAGTGACCATTTGTTTATGACTTTTTTAAAAAACAAGTTACATTTTCTTTTGCCGCTCTTGTAATCTATTAAAAGAATCTCACATTAAAACAATAAATTCAACTTAGGGTTTTCCCCACTGTGGTTTAAATCCCTTATATCTATTTTATGCCAAGTGCTATACTCAGTTCTAGCATCCAAGATGCAGGTGTTCAAGATCTGAACTCAGGACAGGAAGAAATGGGACTGTGGCACCTGTGCTCATGAGTTTAGTTTCCAGTAGACTGTGGTTTGCTTTAAGGTTTGCTCAGGGTTTGCAAGGCAAGAGTAGTATTTTTTAAAGCTCAGGTTGAACAAAAAGGACTAGAAAGAGTTCAAGGTTAATGCACTCCACTGGCATCCCACTGACCTCAGTTGAATCCCCGGCATCACAAAGGGTCTGAGAGCACTGAAGCCAGGGTCAGTCTTGAGTACCACGGGAATTAACCCTGTGCTCTGCTGGGTGAGGCCAAACACCCAACTAAAAGAATAATAAGTAATGGGAGTGGCAGGAGGGATACTGGGGACATTGGTGATGGAAAATGTACACTGCTGGAGGGACGGGTGTTCTGGCATTTTATGACTGAAACTCAATCATGAAAGCTTTATAACCCTATCCCATGGTGATTCAATAATAATAAAAATTTAAAAAAATAATAAAATGCTATGCAGAGCTTTAATAAAAAGGAAGGGGGGGGGAAGCACAGTCAAAACATCTTAGATAAAATGTTACTTATGAGTTCAAAATAGTTAAGTAATATAATTATGTTAATAGTTAAGAAATTATGTAAAATAGCTAAGAAATTACTATAGTAGACAAGGTATAGTACTTCAGTGTGAAAGCCACAGTGCTATCATGTACAGTAGGTCTCTAGTACCTATTGCAAAACTGAATCTCTACTCTTAGCCATTATCTCCCCATCTTCTCTCTGCCCCCACATCAACCCTGAAACCATTCTAGTCTTTGCTTTTTATGTTTGTTTTTGCAGTCATATAATCTAATTATGTCAGTGACTTCATTTGTGTGTTGGACCACCCCTGCTGGTGCTCGGGGCCTCTTCCTGGCTCTGTGCTCAGGAGGTGCTTCGAGGCCCCTGTGCAATGCCGGAGGTCATCCCAGGCTTGGCCACACATGGGCAGTCAGCTTACCACTTGTACTGTGTCTTCCAGCCCTATGTCGATTATTTTACTTAGCAGAGGCCCACTGTTCTATCTATGCCACAAATAGGAGGATTCCTTTTTCAGGGCCAACCAGTATTCTCTTGGATGTAAGTTCTATATTTTCTTGATTCACCTGTCTTTGGATGGACATTGAGATTGCTTCCATATGTATATTGCCACTCGTGAACACGTTGCGGTAACACGAGAGTACAGGTACCTCTTTAAGATGCCAGTCTCTGTTCATTTGGAAAACTGCCCAGGAAGGACACTTCTGGAGAGTTCCCCCACAATGAACAATTCTCTGACATTAGACCGAGTTTAATGGTCAGTCTGGAGGTGGTTGTCGTACCCATTGGTCTGGGCACAGCCCGTCAGACTTTCCCTCCCCCACCTCAGATGCTACTGGCAAGTACAGCCCACACTTTCTGTCCAGTTTGGTTACAGATGGGAAGTTCCACAGTCCCCTCCTTCAGTTCCTTAATTATTACCATTTGTAATATTTACTTGTTACCAAGTAAAATTGTTACCAAGTAACATTTACATTTGCTTTAATTTTTATTAGGAAAGATACACTTAATAAGAAGGCAGGAGCCTATTAGGCCCTCTGCATTATAATTATGTAATGCTTCATAGCAGATTATATATCTATATCTATCTATATCTATATCTATCTATCTATCTATATATCACCGTGATTACAGTACTGTTAATGGTAGGGCTCGTGCATTCTTTCCAATCTGCTGCTGCTACCCCTCCTCCAGCACCCCTCTCCAGTTAAGCTTCCTTTTGTATACAGTTCCCCAGTTCTATTGACTTTGGGCATTTGTTAAAGAATAAAGGTGATGAATCAGTTGAAGAGATGCATAGAACAAGGTTTGGGGGATCCTGGAGTCAGAGGATCTTATGCTGTCAGAGTGTGCTGTGACCCGGAAGTTCTCTGAAACCGTATGCTACTGGCAGGCCTTTACGGAGGCTTCCCCGGGCCAGCATGGTGGGGTTGACAGCTGAGCGTTCATCAGCTCCCAGTGTTGACAGTTCAGGTTGTTTTCAGTTGCAAAGAATCTTACACATAACGGAATGTCCCTTATCTTACATACGAAAGAATGTGTATGTCGAGTTTAAACAGTAGTAAAATGAAAACCCACAGACCTGCTGCTTTGTTTATGAGACCCACATGCCCCTTCTCCAGAGCTTTTGCCCTTTGGGGGTCAGTAATATTTTGATTCCTTTTTCCTTTGCTTTTTAAAAAACAATTTTCTCTGGCCAGGATGTACTTCGTATTTGTATGCTTGAGATCCTGTATTTGATCACCAGCAACAGCAAAAACAAAAAATATCTTTTCTGTGTGTGAATTTTTCCTAACAAGGCATTGTTTAGATTTTTAATTTTGGGGTTTTTTTTTTTTTTTGAAACCTTTAAAAGCTTAGGGGAGAGAGACGTTTGTATTTTAGAGAACACAGGCTTCTCCAGAGTGAAAAGAGGCAAAGAAGCTACAAAGCAAGATGCATAACCACGGGAGAGCATACTCTGGAAGAGCAAGCCTCGTTTTGTTGTTGTTGTTGTTTTAATGTGGATTCTTCACTAATTTGTCTGCACAGTATAGCAACAAGAAAAGCTTTATTTTGCAAGAAAGCAGTTCAGCACACCTATTTCTCTGCTCCTGGGCAAGCAGAAAGGGGCCGGGAGGTAGTGTGGTTTGCGCTTTCTTTGTTGGGACCAGCAGGTGGCAGTAAGGCCACCTAAGTGAGTAAGGCTTTGGTGGTTAGCGTTTTCATCGCGTCCACATTGGATATGAAAATCTGGGGTTTGTAGGTTTCTTAGTTCAATATCCAGAGAGACTCAAACTAATATGAATACCCTGGCTACCCACACTGAGCTTTCTGAGACATATTTTTTTATAACACAGCATGTATTTCAAACATGGTGTCAGGCAGCAACACCTCGTGGAAGGGAGCACAGGGCTGAGAGGATTAGGCAGCTTGGTCCCCAACCAGCCTGTGTCCTTGGATCCCTGCCCTCTCCCGGGGGGGGGGGGGGGGGGAGGAAGGAAGGGGGGAGAAGAAAGGGCATTATAAATGCAGAGGACTAGTTAGAGCATGATTCACACGATTTTTCTTTTTTGTTTGTTTGCTTTTGATTTAGCTTTTTGGGTCACACCTGGCGATGCTCAGGGGTTACTCCCGGCTCTGCACTCAGGAATTATTCCTGGCAGTGCTCAGGGGACCGTGTGGGATGCTGGGGATCAAACCTGGGTCGGCTGCGTGCAAGGCAAACGCCCTACCTGCTGTATTATTGCTCCAGCCCCCTCACATGATTATTTAACCCACTTCTGAACTATTTAGGAACCATGTAAGAATTTTCCTCGTGGCTTCTGACTTCTGTTCGTTTTTGTCTTGCAGCAACACTTTACGAGTCACCCGTTCTGCTGCCCCCAGCACATTGGACAGTTCCAGCACGACCCCTGCTCAGCTCGGAAAGAAAGGCAAAGAGTTTGAATTCTCACAGCTGCCCCTCAAAGTGGAGTTCCTGGAGTGCAGCGCCAAAGGCGGGAGCACCGGCTCGGCTGACATCCAGGACCTGGAGAAATGGCTGGCCAAGATTGCCTGAGCCACAGCGCCCAGCGCCAGGCCGTGTCCATATGTGGGGAAGGGGTGTCACTGGTGAAGACGGGAGACAGATGCAGTCAGAGACATATCCTCATAGGGACAACCAGTGGTTGAAACCAGCTGTGATGTGTCGAAGTTCAAACCCTTGTAACTGTGTTGTTTCCCCTCCCCCGCCCCCTCTTCCCCCCCCCCTTAAGTGTGCGTCCTGCCCCCCTGCTGTGTGCTTGATGTAGAGTCAGCCTTTGTGACACGGTTGCTGGCTCCGTGAGGAGGGGGTCTCATCATGGAAAGTGTTCTAGCCTCTGCTTTGGTGTGTGGGTCCCTTTCCCCTAGAGACAAACCTGCCCATATTTTGAGTCCTCCGACGGCCAGCCGGTCTCATTTCTGCGGGCAGCCCAGCTCCTGGGCCTCTGTGGCTTCTCCCCTGTGTGTCCAGTGACCAGACAGTCCCACGCAGCCTCGTGACATGTGAAGACAGAAAGGAAACAGCACGGCTGCGTTTACGCTGGGTTTGCTCTTCAGGAACTCGTTGACTTGGCTGTGCTCCTGCACTTAGGGCCAAAAACATGTCATAAGCCTTTGGATCATTCCCAAGTAGTGGCCTCTGGGGCAGGCTGCATCCCGGGAGATGTGGCAGCTGCTCTGTTGGGTGCCTCAGAGCCCCTGCACTCCCTTCTTGTGATGTCGGATAGCTCTGTCTTACACCCTTAGCCACATCACTGTGGAACATGTACAAAGTGAAAAAGGGTTCTCTAGACTTCTAGAGCCCACATCCTGTGGTGCTGGCGCATAGGCTTGCCAGGGACACTTTTGGCATGGCTCAGGGGACACCAGGCCACGCATGGTGGTGTCTGGGGTGGTGTAGGGGGCGCCATGGTGCTGGGGCTGAGGACCTTGCTATATGCTGGGCACGTGTGGTCTTTCTTTTTTTCAGCTTGAATTTTATTGATGTATAGAGTTTACTAGTTACTAGGCTGCTTGTGATATGCTTGCTTTGATCAAGAGGAAATGAACGGCAGAAACATGATCCTATTGCCTTCTCCTCTCATGTACACAGTGACCTTGGACAGTAGTGAGGGCTCTGAAGCACCTGGAATTTAGTGAAACAGTGGACACATCGCTGAGGCTGGTATGACATGGAGTGGAGAGAAGTGATTTTAAGCGAATTAGCAAAATGGTTCTTCACAACACATCAAGTGCCCATGAGTCGTCCTCAGTCCTGCCCTAGAGTTCTCTCAGCGGGGTTGGCAAGGGCGCTGGCTGGTCTGTTTGCATCAGCAGTAGGGCCGTCCTGCAGGGATCCTCTTGCCTCCTTCCCAGACAGAGGGCCCAGCGCTGGTCTCTTCCTCTGCGCTGAGCCTGAGAGCCGGTAACAGTAGTGTGGTTTGCAGTAGAGTTTACCATCCTCGATGTCATAGGCATAGGCTGAGAGGCGCAGGGTGGTGGCACAGTACTCATATTTGAAGCAGCTCTGGTGGAAGAACTTGCCCTTGGTGCTCATTCTCTCCATCACATAGACTCTCTTTTGGCAAAAATAGCATGTGTCGCTGCCTCCCAAAGTCTGCGGGAACTTCTTCTTTATGGAACCCTGTCTCTGCATACCAGCGGACTCTGGGGGTGCATTCTCTTCGAATTTGGCCAGCAGCTGGGTTGCCATATACTTCACTTTGTTCTGGTTGCCAAGGGCCACATCCATGCACCTATCGGTCAGCATGCTCCGTGGCTTGCCCTCCTTGGCAGGCCCGGGGCACGTCCTCCTCTTCTGATTGACTAGTCTTTCTCCTCTTTCCAGCACCATCCAAGTCCTTTTCCTTTTTATCCTTAGGAGAACGCTTCCAAGAGAAGGTCCCAGTTTGCTGAGAAAAGAAATGGGGGATTTAGTGCTGGCTATCAGGACTGCTTTCTCCTCAGCATTCTAGTCCAAGGCATCACTGGAGGGGAGGGAGTCTCTGAACAGCTCGTAAAACTGAGTCAGGTACATCACCATGGACAGCTTGTCAGACTCCCCCACTGAGGCCATCCCCTTGCTGGTCATGATGGGAGAAATGCCCAGCTTCTTTTCCACAATATCAAAGGCAAGCTGGTTATTCGTCTCCACATTATGCTCATCTAGAGAATCAAAATCTGTCAAATCAGGGCGGTATCTCTTCGACATGGTCACATCTTGAAGCTATCTCCTCGATCTCTAGGTTTTTGAAGTGATGTTTAAAAAAAAAGTGCTTTTCAAAGTGAAGTTCTTTGCTGTCTTAAACATGTTTTTTTAAAGGGTTTTATAAATTATTAATACATTCTTAGTATTAATACATTTCTGAGTAAGCTCGCAGCAATCAAATAGAAGGGTGCAGTGAGTACACATGGGCGCCTGTGTGAGGATGGAAACAGACCCTCAGGGGCTGAAGATTGTAGGGCACCCAGAGCAAGCTCTTTCCGTGACTCATACATGGGGACATGTCACCTGAGGCTTAAACAGGGTGCCTGTAGTCGTGAGAAGCCAATTCAGGATGCCCATGCAGGAGTGGTACAGGGATGCTCTGGGAGCACACAGCCTGACATGCCTCAGAAAATCAAAAGCAAATGTGCATCACAGCCCAGGCTGCTGCTTGCAGTCATATCCGGGGTCACTGGGGTGCTGTGTGAGGGTGCCAGCTCCCCTAGACCCCCATCTCCTGAGACAGCAGGTTGGGTGGCGGGGCCCCGCCAGGGTACTCACATAGAGGCCTCACCTGCAGGTGTCTGTCCTGCCCAGGCCGCAGTAGCTGAGTCGGGATTTAAGGAAGGAGGCAAGAGCCTGTGCCTTGGAGAAGGATGTGATGCTGACGGGGCACGTGATCAGAGGTGCTGAGAGAATAGAATTGGCAGCTGAGGCTGACACAGGGCATGTGCCCTCTGCCTGCTGGGATCTGTTCTGATCAACAAAGTGTGTGTCTTTGGAGCACGACGCCAAAACGAGCACCTGAAGAAGGGGAGCAAGTTGAACTGGGGGGTTTTATGATGACACCTGGCTGTGCTCGGGGGTTGGTACTCAGGGGACCCTGTGATGCCAGGGAGTGTGCCCGGGTCTCCCCGGTGGAAAAACAGTTGTGTTTTTCCTTTGGCTTTGGGGCCATACCTATTGGTGTGCAAGACTGACTCCTAGTTCTGTGTTCAGGGATCACTCCTGGATGGTCACACCTGCTTGTGCCAGAGATTGATCTGGGCATGGCCAGGTCACAGGCAAGTACTGAACCCCTCCCTGTATTAGTTGACACGCTGAATTTTTATCCAAGGCCTAAAAGATCGACTTCTGGGAAAGGAAAGTTGATCTCAGCGATTCTGAGTATCAGGATGAGCTCTGCAGCATGTGTGGTGTGGCTTGCTTAGTCTTGCACCCGGCAAGGCCTCACTTGCCCACTGGACGCATCCTTTCCCCGAGAACTGTACCTGAGAGGTGATCCGGCTGCCAGCAGTCACAGGTGTCCCTTCTTCCCCATACAGGCCCTGGGGAGCTGTGTCATGCAGAGCACGATATGAAAAAGCTTGTCACTGCATGGGAGCAGGCTGTGGGCCTCCACCCTCTGTCCACCTCCCAGTGGCTCCAGGCCCCCGGGACCCACTTCCTGGCCAGGCACCAGCCAGTTTACTGGGCTCCTACTTCCTGATGAACGGCTGCTGCTGGTAGGAGCCCGAGCGTCCATCACTTAACCTTTCCTCTTCCGAGATCCCAGAGGTCTGGCTCTGTGTGAGAACTTGACCAGGTTTCGTTGACTTGAGATGACTTCAGCTAGAATATTAGGCCTCCCCCTCCCCAACCACTACACCCCCTTTTAAAGGTCTGGGATTAACAGAATTACCTAGGTTTCTGCCTCTTCTCACCTGAATGCTGTTGGCAGCAGTCAGGATGATTTACCTGCCCCTTGCACATCCTTGGGGGGCTGGAGTGATAGCACAGCGGTAGGGCATTTGCCTTGCGCACAGACAGCCTGGTCGAGCCGGGTTTGATTCCTCTGCCCCTCTCGGAGAGCCCGGCAAGCTACGAGAGTATCTCGCCTGCAGGACAAAGCCTGGCAAGCTACCCGTGACGTATTGGATATGCCAAACACAGTAACAAGTCTCAAAATGGAGACATTACTGGGCCCGCTTAAGCAAATTGATGAACAATGGGAGGACAGAGCCCATCCTTGAGGTATTTCAAGAAAGGCCATTACTGCACTGGCTTTGCACAGCCAAGTCATCCCTCTCTCCCCCACAACTTGTGGTCACCTGCAGGAGCCACACGTGGTGCTGGTTCACTTAGACACACCACGCATGCCCAGGCCCTGTGAGCAGGACATAAAACACACCCCTGTGCTTCCGGTCTGAGGGCATGAGACGCAGGTAACTCCCCTGCTCACCCATCCACGACCAGCAGCTCAGTGCCATCTGCCCCCTTGCCCCTGCTTTCCTGCTGCCTGTGCCTGCCACACCCCCACAGGGCCCCTCCGTCCGAGGCAGAGAGGAGCGGAGAGCATGGTGGCACTGACTTGGAGACTCCCGTCTCAGCAGGACTGCGCTTCCCCTTTATTTGTATCTTGTTCGTTTGGGCACTATTGTTATTGTTGGGGTGGGAACCACACCTGGAGGTTCTTAGGGGGGGGATTCCTGCCCTCACGAATCACTCCGGGCATGCTCAGGGGACCACATGGGACACCGGGGATTGAACCGGAGTCGGCTTGCGGGTAAGGCAAGCGCCCTGGCTTCTGTACTCTCGCTCTGGCCTCATATCACTGTTCTTTTTGTAGGTGCCTCACCCCATGGTGTTGGCAGGGGGTGGCCCATGAGGCTTCTGGGATCCAACTTGGCCCCCCCATGTGCAAGGCAACACTCTTGGGGAATGACGTCAGAAAGGTTCTCAAGCCCCTTTCTCATCTCCTGGTCACAAGGGCTGTCACCTGCACATTGAGATGTGAGGACTCCCATCCATGTGTCCCCAACTCAGGCCCAGCGTTCCTCTTCACCTACTCACCACAAGCTTCCGCATGGCAGAACAGCCAGCCACGGCTTACAGACATGCTTTGCCAGAAAGGTACAATGGGCAGGGACACACCGTTCTGATGGTGGCAGCTGGAGGGTGTTCTGGGACCATTAGCATTTTTATAGGACAGTGAAGTTGTACTTGATGTGAGAACAGAAAGCCTTTGTTCCCCTAGTCCTGGGGTCCCGGTGTTCTCAGTCTCCTGAGGTGATGGCTCAAGGACCCTCTCGAGTCGGGTGGGCAGAAGCTATGGGCCTTTGCATCATCAGGAGGGAAATTGGGACCCACCTTAAACTCTTCCCTTCAGGGACTTTCTGGAAATCACCAGAAAGGGAAGAGCCAGCTTCTGACCAAGCCGTGCCCACCCGGCCATGACACCTGCAGGCACCACACATCCGAGTGTCCGTATTGGCTGCACAGGGACTCCAGAGATGGGGCTGACGCCATCACTGTGGCCCCCTCCACCCCATCCCGTGGCCCCCAAACTAGAGAGCCCTGCATGGCGGACAAAGGCAGCTTTGGGTGGCAGCTTAGCGCCAGGGGTGCTAAGTACTGACCATGAGCGTGGAGCATGCGTGCACTTGAAACCCTTTGCACACCACCAGGTAGGAACGGCAGACAGACGCTTTGTGTTGAGAATCAGGACAGTTTTATTGTCAGATCAACATGCTGAATCTTCCACAGTTTACAGTTTTACGTTAAGTCGGTATGGCCGTTGATGCCAGCCGGGCCCGTGAGTGATGTGGGTGCTCCTGTGTGCTCCTTACAGTCACGGTAGGCGGTGCGAGGGGGGAAGTGCGGGGCGACAGGCAGCCCTTCCCTATCTGGAGCGCGGCCACCCCAGCCCAGAAACAACCCTGTCCGTTCCCACATGGTGCCCTGCTGGCCACACGGACCTGCAGTCCAAGGGACAGAGACATGTTGAGAGCCCAAGACCTTAGAAGGGCCAAGCAGTGCATTTTGGACGAATCCCACCCTGCCCAGCCGGGGGTGCGGTGCCCAGGACCATCAGAAGGCCGAGGCCAGCCTTGGTTGCAGGAGGAGACGCGGGAAGTCACGTGAGGGTTTGCGGGTCCTCCGTGCTGCAGCGTGGGAGCCACGGGCGCCGATCCTGGCCTGCGGCAGTCACTCCTCCAGGCCAGACTTGGTTCTTCCTGGGAGGAAAGAGGGGTCCGCGCCCTGTGTCCTGCTCCAAGGGGGTTGGGGCGCTGGCACCAACACGGTGCCCTGCGGCACAGCTGCTCCTCGAGGTTGCTCGCCCAGTCCTGGGCTGCCCCATCCCCACCTCACACGCCCCCCCCGCCTCTCACTGCCCAAGGAAAGAGGCCGCTCGGCCTACAGGGCACCGAAGCCAGCGGTGCCACACTTGTCACAGCTGGTCCTCGAGGGCAGGGTCCCCAGGGGTGGGGGACGAGCAGGCTGCATCCTTCCAGTCCTCAAGCCCATCCCGTGGGGCCACTGGCGCCCATTTCCATGTGGCGCCTGCTGCCCCAGACCCTCACCCTGGCCAGGCCGCAGCTTCCCGGCCCGCAGCTGGCACGTGGGTACCCACCCTCTCTCCCTGCTTTTCCCATCTGGAGCTGGGTGTTTTGGAACGAGGTGGAAAAAGATGCTCCCACTCAACCCCCAGTTTGGGAGGCTAGTTAGAGAGAGAGAGAAGAGACAGGTCTGACATCATCTCCTCCCCAACTCCTCCAACCGATGGTACCCGGGAAGCTGTATCGCCCTCCCCTGGGGCATGGAGCCAACCCACGACACCGTCACAGGACTGAGGGCGCATCATCGCAACTGGTCAAGGGCTTGAAAGATTCTACTGCCCAGGAAGGGAGCGGAGCCCTTCTGGGCAAGAGGTCTGGCTGCCCTCACAGAGCAGGAAGTGGGAGGCTGGGGACAGGGGCAGATGGGTCTGAGGAAAGGAAGGTCACTGGATGGCATGGGCCCCAGAAGAGGGGTCCTGGAGCCCACCAGGCTCAGGAGAGGCAGGGAGGGAAAGCTGTCACGTGTATCCTAGGAACGCAGGGCTCGGTGCTCCCTGCCCTGCCCCCGACTGGCCCTGACCGGAAAGGAGAGGATGCACATGAGAAGGGAACGGATGGTCTACTTGTTTGTTTGTTTTTTTTTCCTTTTTTTTGGTTACAAAACAGGAATGTTATAAGAAAAGCTACTCTTTTTCTTTTTTAACCAAGAAAATAAAAATCCAGCATACATTCACGCACGGAGATCAGCGCAGGGCCCTGTAAATGAGGCTGTCCCAAGTCCCCCCCCCCCCCAGATGACCCTGACCGCCCCCCAGGCCAAGGCTCTAACAGGGACCCCTGTGGCCGCGCTCGAGGTAAGGAAGCGTTCTTCCCACAAGCACCGCGCGGGGGCGTGCGGGTTCACTGGGCTGGGAGCGCACGCACCTTGCATTAAGTATAGAAGAAACGCTGCCCCTTTCCCCGTGGGTGTTTGACTGGCGCTTGACACATCTATGCACTGTTTTTATTGATGGCAAAAACAATCACAAGTTGTTTTTTTCTTTTTTGGACAATATTAAGTAATTCTTAAGTCAACACGTTGCAGTACTTTTGAATTTCCAAAACTGTTACCACAATGCAAGGTTCCACTTGGGAGCAGGAAAAACAAGAATATACATTGAGCACATTTATCTCTGTGAGAATGTCTGTGGGAAGTGTATACACAAGTCTATCTCTCTATATAATTATGTACACACATATAAAAACTAAACATGTGACACTGTAATTATGTTCATATGTTGGTCCTTGCCTTCTGGAAGAGGAATCCTGTTTCCTCTTTCCTATACCTGAAGACAAACCCCCCTCTAAGCATCAACTCTGACACACCATCTCCTTGGCTGAGAACAAGTGACAGGAATCCACTGATGAATTTTCGGTGGTCACACCGAGTTCTACTGCACTTACTGGCTGCCATTTTGGATTCGTTTCTGAGAACTTCCACAGCTCATTGCCAACAACTTGTCAGAACCTTGTTCTGTGAAGTTCATCCGGCTCCCCACACCTAAGGTGGTGGGTCATTCTCACTAGGACATGCCTCAGAGAAACCTGGAGAAAGCCCGTGTCAGGATGGAAGGACCAGGGACAGCCCAAGGGCAGCTTTGTATAGGTGCAGTATCAAGTCAGTCACATCATCTAGTGAGAAGAGGCCACATCGGAGGTTTTACCAGTTCTCAGACCAACCACTTCTCAGAAATGAGTCAAGATGGCTAGGAAGGCTTTCTCTGGGTACCTCCCAGTGCAGCCCGGCCCTCAGGTGAGCAGAACATCGCAACAATTCCACAAAGATACGTACACAAAAGACTCCAACTGCATGAGGCCAGCAGGAAAGTGCCAGGAAGTTGGCACTTCCCAAACGGCACCAAGCAGCATTAGCAGCTAAGCATCCAGAACATTCCTGTTCGAGATGGTGATTCTACACACACAATCACAGGTGCACAGGTACCATGCCCAGCTTCAGGCTCACACTGAGTTTGTCTCTACCCTTCCCTTACATTCGACCCAGAGGCTGTGCTGACTGCTGGGCAGGCTGGTTGGTTACAACATTTTCAAAACTATACATGGTGCTCCACATCTATCCCCCCCCCCCGACCCAACACAGCCCACAGCTACCAACAGCACCCCATCCTTCCTTCTTGCTCCTCCTGTCACCAGGGCACCAAGCTGCCCTCCACCCACGTCAGAGCTTTGCAGGGAGGGGGGCAGGGAGCGGGGCCGGTGTGCTGCAGGGAGGGGGCAGGGAGCGGGGGTGTGTGCTGGGGCTCTCTCTGGTTGGTGTCAAGGCCAGAATTCCGGCTCAGGGCCAGGACTGATGCCCCATTCTGGCCATACGGGAAGACGGAGTTCGAGCTGCCTCTTTAGAGGCTGTTTTGCTCAACCAGAGTTTGATTTAACCAGGTGCTGAGGGTAGGGGACGAGGGGCAGGATGGACGACTTCGGTTGACCAGTTGCCTGGTGTAACTTGGAGGGTGGGGACGTGGGGAGAGGACAGTTAGGAGGACAGGAAGGAGGAGGTGTGAGGAAAGGTTCTCTGTAAGTTTACAAATATACAAAAACAAAAGTGCACATCTTTCAAATAAAAAGGACTACATTTTTTTTATCTGGCAAAAAGTTGTATACACATGATTTAAATTTTTTTTTAAATTTTAACAGTTTTTGGCAATCTTAATAAAGTACAATATATTACAACCAAACCAAAAAATAGTCGTTTAAGTAACAGCTGTTAAGAGTGACGTGATCCCTGATGCCCAGCCTCCCTCCCTCCCCTCCCCACCCCACCGCTAGAGACAGAGAGAAAAGAAAAGTCCTCCCATCTTGCCGCGCTCGTCCCGCCCCCCCTTAGGAAGCTAACCAATAGGAAGCAACACAACAAGCGGAAGTGGCAGAGGCAGCCGCATTAGCAGGAGCAGCCGCCCTCGCTGGCTGGGGGCTCCTGGGGCTTGTCCAGCTTGATGTCGATCACTGCGGGGGCCGTGCTAAGGAAGATGACGCTCCTGGGGAAGCACCAGCCTGGTGCAGACCCCTCAGCCTGGCAGCCGCGGCTCTGGGCCTCGGCACACACCCTCACTGGGCAGGAGGGTGTGGAGTGGCCAGCTCCCACCCCCTCTCCTCCCCTGACCATCACTGCCCTCACCCCTGTCCACCTGAAGCCAAGCCTTCCTGTGCTCTGTGTTCCTAGCAACCAGTGCAGGCCCACTCAGATTGCACTGTGGGTGGATGGCCACTGCCCAGCCAGGTCTCGCCTGTCTCAAAGCACATACGCATAGGGGGGCCTGGGCGCGTTGGCAGCAACAACACAGACTCCTGCATGCTGGCAGAAGGCATCACTTACTCCTGAGGTGGCAGCTGTGAGGGGCGGACACTGAAGCATCAGCCGTGGTCCAAGGACCACGCCGAGCAGCTGCGCGCAATCCCTCGCACGGCCTGATGGCAGCTGCTCTTGGGGCTGGGGGCTGGTCCTGGGGGGCACAGGGAGATGGGATGGGGCAGCATATGGGCACCCTGCTTTGGGCCCGGGACCAGAACTCTGGGACACGTTCTTGGCCCTAGGTGGGACTAGGGAAACGGTTCTTTCCGCCTTAAGCATCTGACCACCACACACGCCCTCCCTGTCACCATCACGCAGTGACAAATACTCTGAGGATGACATTCTCCCAGACCTCTCCTTGTTTCGCTCCCTGTTCATCCTTTTGCTGATTTTCCCTGGTGTGTGTGTGTATGTGTGTGTGTGTGTGTGTGTGTGTGTGTGTTTTGTTTTTTTAGTGGGGTCCTCCCAAGCAGAGCGCAGGGGGGCTGGTAGGGGGTGTCACCCCTGGTGGTTCTCAAGAGTAATGAATAGTGCTCGGGACTGAGGGTCCGGTACTGTTTGGGCTCAGTGGTGCTCAGAGGACTCCAAGGGCTACACCTGGTGATGTTGGTGCACCATGTGGCTTGAAATGGGGATGGCTAAAGGCAAGATAAGCACCTTGACCCCTGCAGTATCTCCCTGACCCTGCATAAGTGTCTTTCATATGTGGCGGAGTCAGAGGATAGTAAGAGCCCCTTCCTTCCTATTGGCCAATCGTATCACCTCTACGCACCTCAGTTCCGGCTCCTGCTGTGGTCCCAGGTCTGTGTCACAGAGCAGGAGGAGCCTGCGGCTGTGCTCAGGCTGGGACATGCTGGGGACTCCTGTCAGGGGAGCTGTCTCTGGTGGAGAAGGTGGAATAGGAGGAGCTCAGAGCCCAGCCCCAGAACCTTCCCTCGAACCCAGGACATGAAGATCAGGGCTCCCAGGAGAGCCTGCTCCCTCTGCCTGCACACCCTGCAAACAGGAACTTGGGTGTTAGCCACAAAGGCAGTCCCACAGGCTGTAACCCTTGCCCCCGCCCCTGCCCCGCCCAGAACGCTGCCTGGGTAAGTGGGGCCGAGCTGATGGCTTTCTCACGCGGCCCAGATAAAGGATACTCCCTTCTTTGCTCTTCTCCTGGACATTCTCCATCCCGGGCAGAGCAGAGGCCACACGTCGGAAGAGCTGGAGCAGGGAGGGGAGATGCAGTGTGAGCCCCCTCCGTCCTGTTGCTCGGGATGGGTGGCCTTGGACTTCATGCTCCTGTCCCACTGACACAGGGTCTGCGCCGAGCGCTCCTCCCCAGCCCAGCACTGCCCCCGGTAGCCGGGCGCTGCAGCCACTCACCCAGTGGTCACCCCCAAGTGCCCTGGGGACCCCATGGTGGGATGGGGAACAGGGGCTGTCTGATCCAGACCCAGGCAGGGTGACAGGGACGCCCCTGGGCTGCAGAGAGGAGCATGCACAGGGAGAGAGGGTGCAGAGGGCCAGGCCCCTCCTCACCAGCGTCCCTTCCTGCTCCCGTCCCAGCAGCCACATTGGCCACACGGCCTGTGTCTGCCGCTGGCCAGACGGCCAGTCAGGACACTCTTGGGGGACCTTCAAGAGCGGACACAATTGTGTTTAGAGGCCCAGAATCTGGGCCCCCTCTCTAAAACACCTGGGTTCCGGACCACACAATTCCCACAGATCACTGCCTAGCTTCTAGAACATTCCAGAAGGGCAGCATCAGCGTTTCACTGAGCTTAGTGGTCCTGTGGATGGTCTAGGGCTGGCCCTGCCTCTGCTCTCAGACTCGATCAGCGCCACCAAGAGCACTGTCTGGCGCCTCTGGCGGCCACAAGCGTGGCGTTCCCTCTCCAGGATGTACCGCAGCTGCCCTGGACTTGCTCTCCCAAGGAAGGAGCTGGGAGGCAGACCAGGTGGGTAGGGGAGAGGCCTGAATCTGGGGATTCTGGGCTTCCGCTCCCCCACTTTGTTCCTCCCCACCTTCCCCACAGCCACCAGCCTGGCTGCCCCCAGCCGTCTCCCTCCCACCACTTCTCCGAGTCTCCTCCACGACATAGCCGACCCTGTTCTGAAGCAAGAGCCCCTGGCCAGCTGCTGAAGCCTGGGGACTGCAGACGTGGGGGCCAAGAAGCCTAAAAGTGTTTCCCAGCCCTTTAGAGACAGACAGACGGTGCCCGGGCAGCACTGGGTGCCCGGAGGATTATGGGGGACCACAGGCCACAAGGTCTAACACCTCGACACAGAGGCAGCCCCCGCAACACCAGGGTGGGGGACAGGGCATAGGGGGTCTCCTGCAGAGCATGACGGGGGCAGGCCAGCGAGAGAAAGGGCAGCTGTTTCCAGCCCAGGTCAGTTGGTCCTGGACCTGGGATCTCCCCTCAAAAGCCCCCAGGGCAGATGCCATGCTAACCCCAGCCCCCAGAGCCCCGTGGCCTACCCACTCCAGGCTGTCCGTCCCATCCCGAGCAAAGGCAGCTTTCCCAGGCCTGGAGCCAGGTTCGGACCGCCCTGTCCACACCCCAGGCAGGCCTCAGGCCCTACCTGCTTCACATTGTAGCCGGTCTTGGCGCTGGTCTCGATGAACATCACGCTCAGCTCCTTGGCGCGCTGCTCCCCCTCCTCGATGGTGATCTGCCTGAGGACCAGGGCACCTGGGTTGGCCAGGGGCACCGCCCAGCCTCCCTGCTGACTCATAGGACCTGCCGCCCCTGCCCCAGGGCGCCCTCCAGGGAACCACCTGCTCAGGACACAGGGTTGAAACTGGGGTCCCTCTGTCCCCCGCAGCCAGCAGAGGCCCCTTTTAAACGGACTTGGGGGACAGTGACAGCCCCCAACCCATGGGCCTTAGCCATGGAGCCTGGAGGGGCTTCTCACAGTAAGGCTATAACCCAGTGATCCAGGCTCCAGCCCCCAGAGCAGCCTCTCTAGAGCAGGCACCCCCACCCCTATCTCAGGCGGTGCCACCCACCCACACTCCAGGGCACTTTAGGGGCAGACACATCCTGGGAGCAGCAACAGCTATGCATGGGGCTGGTGGGGCTCAAGCCCCAAACCTCACTCTAACGGCTGGGCCAGGCACCCCAGCTCCAGGCCAATGCAGGCTGCACAGAGGAGCTCATGGCCCTGCATGCCCAGCTGCACCCTGCATGACCAGCCACGCCCCTGCATGCCCAGTCATGCCCATGAATCCAACCACACCCCTACACGGACAGCTGTACCCCTGGATATCAAGCAGCACCCCTGCATGCCCAAACACATGCCCGTACATCCAGTCCTACTCCTGCACGCTGTTACACCCCTGCATGCCTAGCCACACCCCTGCCTACTCAGCAGCACCCCTACATGCCTCTCCTCACCCAGTCATGCACCAGCACACCAGGCAGAGCTTCTGCCCCTCCCCAGTGCTGACTGTGCCAGGACCGACTCCTGTGAGGACCCCCTTTGACTCCACCCTGCTCCTCATCCTTGACCACCCCTCATCCCTGCATTCCCAGGCTCCCTGAAAGCCAGGATCCCGGGGGAACTTCTGCAGACTCCTGGGGCAGGTCAGAATGGCCGAGCTCAGGCGGGGCTTGTCCTGGCGCTGCTGCCCCTGGCACCCACCTACCTCTTGTCGGCCAGGTCTGTCTTGTTGCCCACCAGCATGATGATGACGTCGCTGCCCCGCTCCGTCCGGACATCATCGATCCACTTGGAGGTCTGCTGGAAGGAGTTGAGGTCTGGAGGTGCAAAGCGGGGGCAGAGCAGGAGTGAGCGCCCTGGGGTATGCGTATAGGCGTGCAGGAAAGGCATGCGCCTGGGAACAGGAGGGTGGGACAGGCCCTTACAGGCCCCCACAGACCTCCAGGGGCAGGAGACTGAGCATGCTCTGGCAGCTCAGAGCAGTGAGGAATGGGTGACCCCCCCCAGCTGCCTCCCACTAGGGAGTCTCACAGTATGACACCACACACAAATCATACACATGCTTGTACACACACACAGACACACCGCACACATACTACACACACCTATACCTACACGCCACATACACCCATGCACAGATACACTACACACATACCACACACCACACACTCCATACACCACACACACGTGCACCCGTCCACAGACATATTAAACGCATATCACACACACCTACACGCCACACACACACACCCATACACAGACATACTGCACACATACCACACACCCCACACATGTACAGACCACACACACATGCACCCATACACATATTACACACACACCACACACATACACCCAGACAGACATGCTACACACATATCACATGCATACATATATATCACATACACATCTATAAACATTGAGCACACACCACACATCCCATACACACCACACACACATACACCCATAAACATATATACCACACACATCCCATACACGTACACACAAATACATAAACACATACACAGACATACTACACACATGCCACACACATCACACACCCCATGCACACCACACACATGTACACCCATACAGACATACTCCACACACCACACATTCCCCACACACTGTCCACCTTGTACCACACCCATCCACACACCCCGTACACTACGCGCCACATCCCCCAGACCACACACACGTTCAACACCCCCCCCACACACCCACACATACACCGACACAAAGCTCACATCCCACTCCATACACGCCACGCCTCCCTGCGATGCCCTCCACACCCCCACCCCCACGCTCCCCCCCATGTTCACCCCCGGCCCCCAGGCACCGGCCGCACTCACTTGTGATGTCGTACACCACCACGGCCACCGTGGAGTCGCGGATGTAGCTGGGGATGAGGCTGCGGAACCTCTCCTGGCCGGCCGTGTCCCAGAGCTGCAGCCGCACCTGTCCCGGGCAGAGGTGCCGGAGGCTCAGGAGGGCAGGCTGGGCTCCTTGAGGGCCAGACCCAGTGTGGACCCCGGGGGTGAGCTGACCAGGGGCCCCCTGCCCGGCCCTCCCCCCGCCTCGCAGGTCAGACACTCACCGTGCGGTCCTCCAGGTACATGGTTTTGGACAAGAAGTCGATCCCGATGGTGGCCTGTCAGAGAGAGGGCAGGAAGATCAAAGGGGCTGCCACAGAGCCGGCGAGGGGGGCCATCCCTGTGCAAGCTGTGTCCTGCCGGCGCTGCTGTCCCGGGCCTTCCCTGGTCCCCCTAAGGAAGCCAGTCAAGCTCAGTGGGGATGAGGGAGAGGGACATGTTGGGGGAGGGGCTAATGAGCCGACCAGGCCCAGCTCTGGGTAGACCACGGCGTCTTGGAGCAGGAGCTGGGGGTCTCCTGCCTGCCTTGCAGGGCCTGCCGCCTCCCTGGCAGAGCAGCTGCCTCTCTTCCTGCACATCCCCGCTCCACGGGACCCCTCCGGCTCTCCTGGCCCAAACACCCAGCACCCCTTGTCAGACCTGTGACTTGGCAAGGCAGCTGGGAAGGGTGCAGATGGCCGGGAAGCCTTAAGGTCAGAGCCCTTGCTCACTGGCTGTGTGACCCCGGGCAGGGACCTTCACCCGCACATGCCCCGTGTCTGAGCTCAGGGCGAAGGTGCTGTTGGTGTGAAATGAAGGAACATGTCATTAATAACCACAAGGGCTCAGCCACTCAGGAGCAGCCGTGCTCACATGCCAGCTGGAACGTTCCTGGGACTAGAACACCCCAACCCCTTGCAGCCAGCAGAAACCCCATTCAGGCAGAAGATGTAAAGGTTCGGGGAGACAGTCATGGAGTGAAAGGAGAAAAGGCGCGGGTTAGGACAGGCCGTGTCAGGGGGCCCCAGTTGGGCCAGCTGAAGTGGATCAGTCACTGCATTCCATCTAAGGTAACAAAGTCAAGGGAACAGCGGAGGCCTTGTGCATGTCTGGGTGCCTTCTGGGAGACAGTCTTCTTCCTTTAAGCTTCCCCCATTTTCTACAATGAATAGTGAATCATTCTAGAAGCAGTGAAGTCTTTTGAGGCAAAAATAAAGTCAGGAGACTCCAAGGGGCAGCTCAGTGGCTCACAGAGCCTGGCTGTCAGAGCTGAAGCCCTGAGTTTGATCCCTGTGCTGTGCCCCTGTGCCACAAAATTTACTGTGACCAGCTGGGAGGGTTTTCCTGTTTTAGGTTTATTGAACATCAAAGAAATGTGGTTGAGGTAAAATGGAAAGTTTTTTGGGGAAAAAAAACTTTGGAGAAAAATAATTGGTGATTGTGTCTATCCTCAATAATGAGGAAAAAAGAAAGACCCTGATATAGAAGGAAACAATTACACAAATGACAAAATGACACTGATTTTCATCAGAAACAGCAAGGGCAGAAGACAATGAAAATACAACTTCACGTCATCTAAGAAACAGCCACCACTGATATGTCAGCCTGGAATACTTCAAGCAGTGACAGTTCCTGTCAGCAATGGAGGCTAAACAAGACATTTTCAGATAGGGAGAAGTGTGATAAAATTGTCACCTAAGAGTCCTCATTTCAATAAGTGCTTCGGGCAGAAGGAAAATTCTACAGATTGAAATCTTAAGCTTTTTGGGGTCACAGTGATAGTACAACGAGTAGGGAATTTGCCTTGCATGCAGTCGACCTGGGTTGGATCCCCATATGGTCTCCTGTCCACCACTAAGAATAATTCCTGAGTGTAGAGGCAGGAATAACTTCTGAGTATCACAGGGTCTGATGGAGGAGGAGGTGGAGGAGGAGGGAGGAGGGAGGAGGGAGGAGGGAGGAGGAGGAGGAGGAGGAGGAGGAGGAGAAGGAGGAGGGGGGGAGGAGGAGGAGGAGGAGGGAGGATCTTAAGCTTTAAATGATACAAAAGCATCAAACGTGTATTCCCTGGAAACAGCAAGTCTGTGGATAGATACAAAAACAGGCATCTTCACCTCAGTCACCTCCTACTTATTTATAACGTTCCCTGCTCCTCAGTATGTCCCACAGGATATGCTCCTGAATCTTCATTCAAAACTTTCACTGGAAGATACTTCAGTTCCTTGCTCCTATACTCCAAGGTAACACTGATAACCACAGTTAAAGTGACTAGTTACAGTGCATGTATTACACGCATTATTGGGGGTGAGGGGCTGGAGCCATAGCACAGCCGTAGGGCGTTTGCCTTGCACGCAGCCAGCCCGGCCCAGCCGGGTTCGATTCTTCCGCCCCTCTCGGAGAGCCCGGCAAGCCACCAAGAGTATCTCGCCCGCACGGCAGAGCCTGGCAAACTACCCATGACGTATTCAATATGCCAAACACAGTAACAAGAAGTCTCATAATGGAGACGTTACTGGGCTCACTCAGCAAATCGATGTACAACGGGAAGACAGTGCTGGACAGTGCTAATTGGGGGTGATCGTGGGGGTGGGGATCTACCAAACACTGCTAAGGAAACCCAGGGACCTTACCCAGAGATTCCTGGCTAGTTGGTTCAATGCAAGGCTCCAAAGACCTGGTGCTGCTGGGTGCTGTGGTGCCGTAGATTACCTGGACCACCCTAGTGATTCTGGGGCCTCTAGGGTCACAACCAACAGCCTCAGGGGCCTCCAGAGCTGCACCTGGTGATGCTCAGGGGACCATGTGGTGTCAAGGATGGGAATCTGCCACGTGCCAGGTCTGTGTGTCAGTCTCTGCAATATCTCAAGCCCCATCAGTGACGCTCTTTAAGGGTCCAATGCCGCAGTTAAGAACTCTGAGAGGGATAGATGTTAATTTACTTGCCAGCATCGACAGCTGGACATTGCAGAAACAGGATTTAAAAAGAACTACTTGCAGGGGGGCACAGAGATAGTGCCGCGGGTAATGTGCTCGCCTTATTATACATGTATGATCGGGTTCGATCACAGGCACCCCACATGGTCCCCCGAGTCCACCAGGCATGATCAGAACCCAGAACCAGGACTAAGCCCTTCGCGCTAAGCCCTGAGTTTTGGGCCAGGTGTGGCCCCAAACCAAACCAAACCAACCAACCAAAAAAACTACTTACAAAGTGGTGTCACCTTTTCCAGCCTCTCGCTGAGCTCTGACAATGGTCCCTTCTCCCTGGGGAGAGTCTGCCTCTCCTCTGGGCCTCAGCCCCTCCTGGCCCTGGCCCCTCCCTCATGTTCCCCTTCCTCCTTCCCTACATTCTCACATTAAAAACCATTCATCCCGTCTCTACATCTGCAGTCTCTCACCTCTTCCGACGGTTTGCTCACTGAAGGGGACCCTCAAAGTCACTGTCTTCATTTCCTTTCCCGCTGCCACCACTTAACTGGCCACCAGTCTGGTTCGTGGCCCAGGGCCCACAAAAAAGGCCACTGCTGAGGCTGCGACTGCCATTTCCTCTCCTGCCTGGGGGGACCTGACCCAGCCAGGTGCTGTTAACCATTGTCCTTGACACTTCTCTGCCTTTTGTGACACGGTTATCTTTGGCCTCTCCCCTCTGACTCTTGTCTGAGTGAAACGCTGGTGCTCCCTACTGTCCAGTCAGTGGCTCCAAGGACTCTCCCTGCTCCAGAGAGGGTGAACTGATGCCTCCTGCCTACCTCCCCGCGGCAGGTACTGGAAGGCTTGCCAGACCCTCCTTGCCAACCCTCTCCCAGGCTCCCAGGCTCCTGAGCTCCTGGAAGCCCCCAAGATCCTCACCGGCCCACTCATCTATCCACTCCCTCCCAGGAGAGAAATGGCTGAGCTGGCTACTCTGCCGAAAAGTGAGGGAATCACACCTGACAATGCTCAGGGGTTACTCCTGGCTCTACACTCAGGATTACTCCTGGTGGTGCTCGGAGGACCATATGGGATGCCGGGGATTGAACCTGGCTCTGCCGCGTGCAAGGCAAATGCCCTCCCTGCTGTGCTATGGCTCCGGCCCCATCACTCTGTCTTTTGAGTGTCTTCTCACCTGTCCTTTCTCTCCATGCCCACCACCACGCCCCTGCTCACACCTGGACATGCTCTGCAGCTCCCTGAGCAGACTCATCGCCCAGCTCCTCTGATGCTTCATCTTTTCCGGGGCTTTTCCACAAGGCTGAGTTCCCATGACTGGTCACACCCAGCTCCGCAGGCAACAGTTTTCCTACTAAAGTAGAAAGATCACACACAAGCCAGCCTGTTCTCCTGGCCAGGGACTCAGTGGCTCACAACACGCAATGCCTGGAACCTTGCTTCACGGTCCATCAGAGGCAAAGGAGAAAGGTGGAGGCATTTGTTCTGCACACAGGACACCCAGGTTTGAGTCCGGGTGCCCCAAGATCCTTTTAGGACCTCCAGGAATGAAGTTCAAGCACTGCTCCAGAAGTAGCCCCTTACCACTGCCAGGTGAGCGAAACCAAAACCACAAGCAAGGACAGGGGCAGGAGTGACAGTACAGCGTGTGGACAACTCGGGTTGGTTTGATCCCTGGTGCCCCACATGGTTCCCTAAACCTGCCAGGAGTGATTCCTGAGTGCAGAGCCTGGTGCAAGCCCTGAGCACCACTGGGTGTGGCCCCAAAACAAAACAAAAGGAAAAAGCAAGGTACAAGCAAGAACCTAGAATATCCCATCTAGGGCACCCGGGACATGCTCCAAGCTAAACCACACCCAGGGTCCCAAAATGTATCTCTATAAAATCAAGAAGATAGAAATCACATTAAGTAACCTGTCAGGCACTGTGCTTTGAAAACGGAAATCACTCACAAACAGAAACAGGAAAATGCAAACACTTAGAAATTAAACCCCCCAAAAGAGGGGGGGTGTTTCTGAATAAAAGATAATGATCGTTAAAAACCAAATCTTTGAAAAAAAATAATGATACAAAGTAGCACTATAGCACTGTCATTCTGTTGTTCATAGATTTGCTCCAGCAGGCCTAGTAATGTCGCCATTGTGAGACTTGTTGTTAATGTTTTTGGCATATCGAATATGCTACGGGTAGCTTGCCAGGCTCTGCCATGCAGGTGGGATACTCTCGGTAGCTTGCCAGGCTCTCCAAGAGGGGCGGAGGAATTGAACCCGTGTCAGCTGGGTGCAAGGCAAAGGCCCTACCCACTGTGCTATCACTCCAGCCTATGATACAAAGTAGTGGCACTGTAGCACTGTCATCCCATTATTCACTG